GAACTAAACACTTTAACCAATTCAAATCAGCTCAATGAAGTGAGTAGTTTATGCACAATCTGTAGATTTTATTTGCATAAAGAACATGGATTTATGGTTTATTATTTCATAGGTACATAACAACTGTACATAATAACTACTCTATTCCAAACTTAAAAATGGAAAGTGTAATGCTGGTGGTCAACAAAAGAGGTTTAAAGACTGTCTCAAGTCAAATCTAAAAAAATGTAGTATAAACACCGACAACTGGGATACACTTGCCTGTGAGTGCTCCAGTTGGAGAACAGCCTTTACCAAAGGTGTCATGGGCTTCAAAGACACTCAAACTCAGGACGCAAGGGAGAAATGTGCTAGGAGGAAGGCATGCTTGGCAAATCCACACCGTGATCAACTCCCGCCCGGAAACCAATGTCCCCACTGTGAAAGGACGTGTGGATCCAGAATTGGCCTCCACAGTCACTTACGGACTCATTGTTAAAACCATGTTTATGGAAGACAATCTTAATCGGCTACGAGTGATCGCCAAAGAAGAACTGCCTTGCTATGTCAGCTGAGAAAGGTCTGGCACTTTAAACCGCCCTGTCCAGCATTCCATCCAAACAATGGCCAGCCAGATGACTCTGGAAACGCTCATGTAAAGCAGGGAGGAGGCGGCCGACTGACCTCAGCACCTGAGATTCACAGTAAGAATATAATGGAATGTAGGAGAGACCTGCTTGATCAGAAAAGCCAATGTAGCCCAGTATTGTTTCCAATAGTGGGCAGACAGTACTTAAATATGGGGGTTGCATTTAGATATCATGGCTAATAGCTGTTGCCAGGCAGGAATCTCAACTAAAGCATCCATGACAGATCTTGTACTATCCCCTCTTGAGATACAGGCTTGATTTAAAGGTGAGGGCATGCTGGGGTATTCATAAATAATAATAATTTATTACTTACACCTCCCCAGCCACTCTGAGCGGCTCCCAACAAAATATTAAAAACATGATAAAACATCAAACATTAAAAACTTCCCTAAATAATGTGCCCTTGCAGAGTCCCACATGCGAAGTATCATGTCTAAGCCCAGTTGCCTCACCTGAAGAATTAACACACCAGGGATTTGTGGCCTGGCCAGATGCTGTGCTGGCTTGCTAACTATCTGCACTTGGCAGATGGAGACCTGGTTTAGATGTGCCACAAGGTGCCTGGGACCCCAAGTGGGTAATCTATCTAGGCTTGTCTGCTGTCATGTTTAAATTGTTAAATACATCTAAATGTCCCTGCACTTATTGCCAAACGGCTCACTGCAATTTCTTTTTAACCCCCTCAGTGTATAAACAAATTAATGCAGAAGTGAGCTATTCCTGGATATGTGGTCACATATGAGCAGGCTCCCAGGGGTTCAGGATATTCAAAATGTACATTTAACAGACACTAAATTGTTTCTTACATGTTCTTTGGAACGTCACCAGTAAGAAGCAGGTGATTTTCCAAGCCGTGTATAATCTCATGTATTAGCTGGTTAGAGTATTAATGCTAATAGGAAAAGCGATAAGCTGAAGGAGCTGTCAGAATTCTCCCACTCTCCTCCCATGAAACGCCTATCAAATCTCTAACAGGTTGGAAAAAATAGTCACTGAACAAAAACCATTAAAGTCACATTATTGACTGTCCACTTGCACAGAAGCTAAAGATAGCCACTTTATCCCTTCCTCCAGTTTTTCTTTTCTTTGGATAATTATAATTTTCTGCTTCAGCTGAGAAAGTCATTTCTGATGCTGCTGAAGTGCGTAATCAGTTTGCCCTTCTGGAGGGCAACAGGAATGACGCAGCAGTGACAATGGACCTCTGAGGAAGCAGCATGGTGCGTTTTGGGGTGCAATCCAAGAAGTGCTGCTACTGCAAAACCTCCTCTCTCTGCCTTTATATATATATTTCTCTTTGCATTAGGGCAAAAGAAACTGTGCCAGACACCATTCCAATAAGCATCAGTAAAACATTTTGAGATTTTTCCTGTATGTTCTTTAAGTCCAGAAATTGATTTGAGACTTCTACTCTCTTGCTTGCTCCTCTAAACCTTAAATGAATCATAAGCTTCAGTCAAGGTAGTGCCCTTGTTCATTTCAACAGGGCTTTTGCAAAGCTTGTCTGCTAACCTGCTGGAAGCATACAGATGCTCTAACAGTTATAGGTGCACTTCAGTTTGCAGAGTATGTTGAGGAAAGATGATCACAAATGCATGTTTTTGAGATGTGCTGTCACTTTGGGGCTGTGTGGTTTAGAGGTGGTTCCATGGACACTGACTCCATCTCCTATCAAATCTCCTGCTGTCCCTTCCCTTCAACTCCTGCCTCAAAACCTACCTTTTCTGAGAGACCTTGCTTCAACTCCTTAAATCCTTACCTCCAACTGTAGCCAAGCTTGACTAGAACTGCCTTCACACCCATTTTAACTTTGCGACTCTTTCCCACTTTCAATTTTAGACTGCCTCCCTCCTGGGGAGCAGAGGTCTTTTTTGCAGAACAAACAATTGTGAGCCTTACACAAGCAGATGCAACGGAAGCTTAAAAACATACAGAAGAGTCTGGCATCCTGCTCCCACAGAGGCCAAACAGATGCCCACAAGCGGGACCCAATCATAGGAGCACTCTTCCCTCCTGTAAAGGTAAAAGGACCCCTGACCATTAGGTCCAGTCGTGGCCGACTCTGGGGTTGTGGCGCTCATCTCACTTTACTGGCCGAGGGAACTGGCGTACAGCTTCAGGGTCATGTGGCCAGCAGGACTAAGCCGCTTCTGGCGAACCAGAGCAGCACACGGAAACGCTGTTTACCTTCCCGCTGGAGCGGTACGTATTTATCTACTTGCACTTTGATGTGCTTTTGAACTGCTAGGTTGGCAGGAGCAGGGACCGAGTAACGGGAGCTCAGCCCATCATGGGGATTTGAACTGCCGACCTTCCAATCGGCAAGTCCTAGGCTCAGTGGTTTAACCCACAGCGCCACCCGCGTCCCATCTTCCATCCTGTAGTTGCCAGCAATTGGTATCTAGAGGCATACTGCCTAGGAAACTGTAGCACGTTATGGATGTGACCAGAGCAGGTTAACAGTTGTCTCTGTCCAGGAAACGTTGAAGGTGAGGGGGAAGAAGCTGAAGATGAGCGTGCCAGGCTACCTGGCGAGTTCATGACAAAGGTATTATTTTCTTAAACTGGACACTTCCTCTTTGGTGATGTTGGCCATTACACTAGGTATATTAAGCAGATTACAAGGATGCTCCTGAGCTACATTCCTCAAGGGCGCTTGGGTCTAGTTCTCACTGAGTTGATAAATCTCCACCTGGGATTTTAGGTCCCTGTGTGACAGAATGTCTCTGTATGAAAACACTGTTCCATTACGAGTGCTGAAGGAAGAATACTCCACTTGAACAGCTGTCTGGCCCCAGTCTGGTTTGAAGTTAAAGACCCCCTCCCCTGCAAGAAAGCACAGAGGCTCTGAAGTTCCCCATCAATGGTGAGCGCCTGGATTAAGCATTTAGGAGCCTGGCTGCTGCATCTGGCCAGTGGCCCCTCTAGTCCAGCCTCCTGTTCTCCCAGTGGCCAAGGGGATGCCCCCAGGGGAAGCCCACAAACAGGGCAAGAGGGTTTCCAGCAACTGGCATTCTTACCTTATCTGCATAATGTCAACAGGTGTTACAATCTAACTACTTTCTGCAGATGGAAAGGGGGGGGGGGGAGAGAGAAAGCAAATTACAACCCAAATTTTCCTTGAATCTCTCTGCTGTTGACATGAGAAGCCAGAAAGGGAATTTCAGTCTTATTTCTAACCACCGGCCTGAGATTTCAAAAGTGCTCACTGCTGTGGCCACAGGCTGTGTCGTAGGATGGCTAAATGATTTAGTGGGTAATAAATATGATTTAAGGGCTCCGGGGTGGATTTTCAAATGGCAGTGAACCTCCCAAGTCCTATCAAGCTGCTATTTAGGCCTCAAAAATACCTCAGAGGGAGAATCAGAGCTACTTTGCAGCTCTATTTCCACTGAGATTGCCTTGGGCACTGGCTATTTACATTTCTCTCCTCCCACCAAATACATTTTCTCACACTTAGAAGCATGCTAACCCTTTCCTCTCCTCCAACTGTGCTTTAAATTAGACCCTGCTTAATTTATCTCCCCCAGAGACCTAAGTTTCAGAAACCGGCTGGCTGATCCTTCCTTTGAAAACTCAGACACTTTACTGTTGGTTCCACCAGCACAAGGAATAATGAACAAGGAAGACCAGGATTTTGCAGACATGAGTGTGCCAATGACTATCACTCAGTCTTCAGGGTTAAAATCACATTTTGGTCTTGCAAATATCAAATTCTTTTTCAGAAAAACTATTCAAATTAAGCATATTTGAATTACATCTGCATCATATGGAAATGAAAGTTTTCAAATAATTTCTGAAATATATTTTATACATTTAAGAACTGTACAAATTTATCACATTTGCCCACACAAAACCACATGTTGCAGACTGCAATTTTCATTTGAGAGCAGGGAAGGCTGAAGTCGAGGAAGTGGAGCACAACCACAGTACCTAGCAGAGATGAGACCAACCCAGATCTCACAATTGTTAGGTGTACACGTGTAAGAGCAGGGGAAAATTTATCTTAAAATGTAAAGCATAAATGCAACAAACAGGTGGTTGAAAACAGGTCCATAACTCATGTACACTCTTCAGAGCCTGCTCTTTCTATGGCTCCCTAGTTTTTCATTCAGTAATGCATGTTTTCTCACTGGTGGAGGTGGCAAATGTTTATAGCTCCCGATTCAAATCAGCACTTAACTTTGTCACACCATTTCTTGTTAAAGAGTAAGACAATAGAGCAGCAAGGTCTTGGACTCTGTGTATGGTTTATTTTAAGATCACCTGTTCCATATCTGACGCAGAAGGGTCAGATGCTGACAGCATTTGGCCCCGAGTCAGAAAGCAAAGCCTTTTGACTTCTCAAAAGAGTAACTCCGAGAGGTGAAGTGGAGCCTGACAACCAATAAACTCCTGTTCTTTATTAAGTATGGACAATGGGGAACTGAACAAGCGTACAGAAGAATAACAATGTGAATGTTAGACTTTATTGTCTCTGTGGCTACATTAATGAAATACGTTAATTTAATATCTACCAGGAAAAATTAGGCAGAGAGCAGAAAGCTACAGGGAATGTTAAAATGCCATTGTTCTAACAAAGCTAGAAAAGGTTAGAATAACTCCTTTTCATGTGTTTCTAAATGACTTCGCTACAGGTCAAAGGCCTAAGGGAAGCAAGGAAACTTCTGGAAGATCCTGCACCTCCGTTTTAGTCCAAGGACTAAATTTACTAGTTTTAGTCCAACTAGTAAATTTTCTTTACACACCCTTTGCTTAACTCAAGGGAGCCAGGCAGACTCGTGAGAAGTCTAATGGCAGGGATCAGAGGCTCTTGTATCAACTGGCCACACTTTGCTTCCCCAAAGCAAGCTTTGCCTGTTGCTTCTATACTCCACTGCAGCTCTCCAGGGGGAGTGGCCATTTAAAGATGACACCCGATGAAGTTATAGGCCTGCACATACTTTGATGCAAAAAATGCATGTTTAAGAAACGTGCTGAGAATTTGGAAGATAAATGAGCATCCTTTTCCCAGTACCAAGAGGAAGCAATATGCCAGGTTTGGGCATGACTAAGTGGGGTGAGTGGACTTCTTGCAAGCCAGTTTGGCTCTGTGTCACAGTATATCCTGCTGCTTGGCTGTAGAAGCCGCAGAATTAGAACTCCCACCTTTTTGGGCCTGGGGAGGGAGTATCATTCATCTTGGTTTCTCTGTGAAAACAGCCAGCTTTCAGCTCAACACATGGACTAGACCTTTGCCCATAAACCCATTTCAATGCAGTAATTGAACACGGAGCCCATCCCACTGCTTAAACTGGCCTCCAAGTGATAGAGCCACTTCGCATCTGCAGTACCTGTAGAGAGTTATTTTCTCTCTTTAATACAATGAGCCGCTGAAAAGGCTCCCAGTCAAACTGGGAAACCATTGCCATTCTATTTAGGCTGGGACTTTTCCAAGCAGCCGTTGTAGCTGAACAGCAGCTGAGCCCCTCAACAACAGCAACCAGAAATCTAACTTTTGTAAAAACAGTTGTAGAACTAGACCAATTTTCACAACAGAACTGATGCTCAGTATGGCTGGGATTCACAAGACCAGCCGGTCCTCTCCTCCTTCCTGAATAACCTGGCCAATGGATGCTTGGTTTTGCTGCTTGAGGAAACATTCCTTCTTGCACTCCATGAGCAGCTGGAAATCTCGCCACATTTTCACTTGCTTCAGATTTGGACCGTGGCTTTCCCGCACACTCTTCTGCTTCTCTCGCAGTTTCTGTTACTCAAAAGAACAGTCAAAATCATTCCAAGAAATGTTTCAGAGTTACAACAGTTACATCATAGTGGGGCACGAACATTTATTTCTCTGAACAAGAGATCCTGGCCTCGACCCAGTACACCCAAAGGAGCATCTCCCCATCGTTCAGCCCAGACACTGAGGTCATCCTTTGAGGGCCTTCTGGTGGTTCCCTCACTGTGAGAACTGAAGTTACAGGGAACCAGGCAGAGGGCCTTCTCAGTAGTGGCACCCTCATAGAATCATAGAGTTGGAAGAGACCACAAGGGCCATCGAGTCCAACCCCCTGCCAAGCAGGAAACACCATCAGAGCACTCCTGACATATGGTTGTCAAGCCTCTGCTTAAAGTGTCCCTGTGGAACACCCTCCCTTCAGATGTCAAGGAAATAAACAACTACACAATGTTTAGAAGACATTTGAAGGCAGCCCTGTTTAGGGAAGTTTTTAATGTTTGATGCTTTATTATGTTTTTATATATGCTGTATGCTGTCCAGAGTAGCTGGGGAAACCCAGCCAGATGGGTGGGATACTCAATTGCTGCTACTTTGTCTGCGTGGCATTACAAGGTCCTGAATTGACTGGGGCAGCCACTGTTGGGGCAGAACTCAGCATGCATATGCAGAGTGCTCAACCTGTGAGCTACAGCCTGTCCCCTAAATCTATGCTTAGCACTAAAAAAAGACATAGATTAAGTGTTTTATGTATGTTTTTTTGTGTGTGTTTTGTGTATGTTGAAATAATAGAAGACAATTTTTGATGACAATTCTGCAAAGAAGATCTAAAACAGGGTTAAAAAGCAATTCAAAATGAACTGTTATCAGGACTACAAACATATTAGTCACTGCTCTGTAGTCTGCTTTGTAATCTGGAATGAATAATAACAACAACAACAAGAACCTCATTTATACCCCACCTTTTTCTCCAAGGAGCTCCAGGTGGCACACATGGTCCCCCCCCCATTTAATCCCCACAACAACCCTGTAAGGTAGAGGTTAGGCTGAAAGACAGTGACTGGTCATCCTAGGGAGCTTCATGGCTGAGTTGGGTTTTAAAGCCTCCCATGTCCTAGTCTGACCCTCTCACCACCACACCAGACTAACTCTAGAACATAAAGAAAAAATGAAATTAATCTTTACAAGGAATTCTGTCCTTAAAAGTATAACACTTGCATAACTGAATTTATAAGGGAAACGTTAAAGAAAGAAAGAAGTTAAGAAAAAGGAATTATTTGTGCAATTCTGAACTTTACAGAAGACGATTAAAAATGTACAGAACTCAGCAAGGGTCTTAGTCAACGCAGCTATCTCAAAAGCACTTCAGTTACTTTCTATAAAAACACCAAGGACAACAGCTGGGAAACGTATCATCTTCAGCCAGTTTCTGCATATACCACTTCAAATTTGATCTAGCAAAGTGTCGCCTGCATTACAATGTCTTATCCCCGGGGTTCCTGGGGAATGTGCTGTTTGTAAAAGATAGTCAAGCAGCTTAAGCATTATCTATAGGAAACCGACTTCAGAATTGTTTCTCTATTTTATTTTGAGAAACCAATTTATCTGAGTTGCAACAGAATGGTTTTTTGGAGGCTGTGCATAAGGACCAGAATAAACTAATGACAGGCATGAAATGTAGCATTTCTAAAACTGAAAGGGAATATTTTTAAAATAATAACCTATTATTACCTTTCCAAGGTTTTCTTGTTCCGTGATCATCCGGGTGTATTGTTCCCTAAAGAAGAAGATAAAATAAAGACATACATACACACATACACATTATTTACAAAGAATCTGCGAGTGTGAAGTCAAAATGCTGGAGAATCATGGCACCTGCTGTGGCTGCAGAGACCAGGAACTCGTGACTGCTCCTCTCTGGGGAGCAAGCCTGGGCTGCTAGGCGACAAGACCCCCACTCTTGGCTCCACTGATGTGGTCCAAAGGAAAGCAGAGCAATATGTTCAGCACCAGCTTGGCTGCAGGAGTTGTTGGAAGGCACCATCCAACTGTTTTAGGGACTCCACTCCAGATTTGTGTAGGGTTTATTCCTTAACCCTTTCTTCTTCCAAAGATGTCCCGCAAGGCAGCAGGTATGGATTTTTCCTTGGAGTTTACTCTCACAGTTGTGTATAGCTCCAACACAGCGGAAGTCTAGGATCAGAGTTTTCCTTCTCCTAGATGAGCTACCTTCCCATGTTGTTGAGCCCCATCTGCCCCTCATTTCCCTCTACAGGACGTGCATAAACTGCCTTCTTGCTGTTAGACCCACTATTGGTCTCATCCACTGAATCTGCCGGAGACTGTCTTCACATGCAGGGGAAGTTCCTGACTCACTGAAGGTTTGAGAGCCATTGCTTACCCATACCTGGTTCTGCTGGCCAGTTGAAGTCGTTTCCTGGAATTGTGGCTACTGTCGTATGCTGACAGCTTCTAGGAGCCACAGGTGAGAGCTGAATGCAGGGTGGGGACCAATGGCGGACAAACTACCACAGAAGGAGCATGATGTGTCCCCCACCAGAGGCACTGTCCCGCCCTTAACACCCCATACACCCCAGCACTTTTAGAGTGTTCAAAGTAGTACTTTGTGTGCCAGTCAAATTTACAACAGCCCTGTAAGGCAGCTCCATATCATTATACCCATGTTGCAGGTGAGGGTCTGAGGCTTTTTATTCACATTTCCAATGGACTCTTGAGTAGATGATTCATTATTATTTTTTTTTACTGTTAAAACACATATTTGTTGTATATCTTTCCTGTCTTATTTCAAGGGTCTAGGAAAGTGATAAAAACCTCTTATATTCTATTTGTCACCATCTTATAACGTAGATTACACTGACTAGGAATGAATTTTCCGAAGCCTGGCAGAGAGCTATATGGCCAAGGGGGATTTGGAGATGAGTGTCCTGCATGTAAAGCCTACTAGACTATGGCCTGAAGGACACTGGTTTCACACATCTAAGCTTCTATAAGTCTGTGAGTCATCAAGATAAACTGAAAACCCCAAAGGAATTCACTGGATGATAGAAAAACAACAAACTTGAACCCTCCTACTTCAGCAGCCTATAATGATCCTTTGACTTCACCGAAATCATTGCAACTCTTGGCTCTGTCATCTGAGCAAAATGACAGTTTAACAGTTGACTAAAAGGGGGCTGATCCAAGGACTGGAAGCCTGGGACAGAAAATTCTTCCAGCTGGGAATCTTAAGAACTATAAATCCTCTCAGGCGGGTGTTGTAGCTTTCCACTGGGGAAGGCAGGCTAGGATTCCTCCTTTGCTCCCCCCACCCCAGCCAAGACTACTGGGAACTTGCTCTTGTCTCCAGGGCCTGTGCCAGCCATTTACACATTCCCACCCCATATATTGCATGTCCTATGGGGAAATGGGATTTGCGCCTGGAACAGGTTTACTCTTGCAGCCCGGGATATCCATCTTTCTCATAACCTGCATGCAGCTGCTGTAATTTGTGCCAGGGCCAAGACGACCTCAATTGCCCCCAAGAGAATGCACATCTATTGACATCCTTCCCCATCACTTTAGGTTCACCAATTGCTCTTTAGTCCCAAGACTTGGAAGGAGAAAAAACAGACAACAGAAAACTAAACCTCTGAATGTCGGGGGGGGGGGGGAAGGGTTGGTGGTTGTTTTTTTTGCTATTTATAATGATGTCTGGAAAGAATGCAACTTAATTTTGAAAGTTAAAACTATTTTTAGAGAACAAAATTAACTTTTCACATTCCTCGGTACTGACTCCATGGAACAGAGGATGGGGATCAGAATTAGGGCATTTTTGGTTCATTAGTAAACTGAGGTTCTGCTTATGGGTTGTTTGAGCTCAGTTTACATTCCAGGGCTCGCAAGAAGAGACATTCAGCCCTGAAAGGATTTCTAGAAATCTGCCTTCTCTTTCCATCCTGCACTTATTGAATTTCTGCCTATCAAAGCCTCTGCTTATTTCCAAGAGAATTTGCACTCTCCTGGGTTTTTTTTTCTCCACAGGGAGTAGCAAATGGACATTCAGAAGAGTAACTCACCCAGAAGCACCCTGTATTTTACTGTGCACTAAAAAAGCAAAAGTGCAGGAGGCAGACCCAGAAGACACCTGGAAAATGAACATCCCCTCACCCCATGACAGATGGGCATCCTGATGTGCCTCTTCATAGCAGCATGGGGAACAGACAAGTGAGTGACTTGGGCAGGAAGAAGACCCACCAGCATAAACTCTGTGGCCTCTTAGGACTGGATGGGATGAGCACTGGACACCCAGCCTTTGACATGCTCTTCCTTCTCTGCATTAACCACTGTAAGCACCTAGATACCAGGCAAACCACAGTGGCCCCAATAAGCTTGGGATTCTAAATACAGTACATACAAAGTTTGTGAAGTAGCCACCATAGCACACCAAGGTCTGAGAAGTAGGTTACAGCAGACAGACTGAGAACAAAACCCACAGAGCAGAGAAACGCTCTCAGCGTTCATCCACTAACTTCCACTGCAACTGTCCTCTCATTTCCACTTTAGCTTTACTATTCCTACTGTTTCTTTGCTCAGCATTCAACTTCGTTCCTCCACTGACATGGATTACATCTCTCCATATATTTGCAAGGGGTTTGTTATCTGTTCCTGGCTGCTCCCCGATTTAGCCACCATAAATGGAGACTCATGAGATCAAAAGGCGACATAAACAGTATTTTGTTCTTCAATGAGCTCTCTCTCTCTCTCTCCCTCTCTCTCTCTCTCTGTGTGTGTGTACAGTCCTGTTTTCCTATGGAGAGAATCCTAAATGGAGCCACAGCAAACAAGAAGTGTCACTGCAGAGACTGTTAAGCAGAGGGAACAGAGAATTCCACAAAAACTTAACATGGTCAGTTTCTTCTAGTTCAAGACTAATTACACCTCCATTTCTGAAAAATTGTTTGGAATTAAATCACACTCCCAAGTATATCATAGAATCATAGAATTGTATAGTTGGAAGAGGAACCAAGGGTCATCTAGTCCACCCCCCTGCAATGCAGAAATCTCAGCTAAAGCATCTGTGACAGATGGCCACCCAACCTCTGCTTAAAAACCTCCAAGGAAGGTTCCACTTCCCAAAGGACTCCACTTCCCAAAGGAGTCCATTCCCCTGTTGAACAGCTCTTACTGCCTGAAAGTTCTTCCTCTTGTTGAGTCTTAATAACCTCCATTGGTTCGGGTCCTGCCCTCTGGAGCAGCAGAAAACAAGCTTGTTCCCTCTTCCATGTGGCAGCCCAGGCACATCAACTCCCTGGGGCCTTGAGTGCCCTAGCCCCCACAACATTTTAAATGGGGGGGCAGGGCACCCACAAAGTGTGGTGGGGGCCATGTGCATGCTGTGGGAGCATGTGCGCACAAGGTCATAAGGCTGCCACTATGTGCGTGAGTGATGTCAGCACACCAATGTAGCAGATGTAGTGTGCATGCGCCAGTGGGTGTGCTGACTTAGCGGCCCCGGGCACCCACAGCTGTGGGGGCAAGCTAGCACCACTGTGACAGCCTTTGAGGTATTTGAAGATGGGTCTCCTATCTCCTCTCAGTCTCCTCTTTACCAGGCTAAGCACACTCAGTTCCCTCAACCATTCCTCATCAGGCTTGGTTTCCAGGGAATGGTCTTAAGGCACTAGTGAGCCCAACCTCTTGCTGCAGCTAAGCATGTCTGGGACTGACCAGTACTTGGGATGTTCCTGGGGAGCATATGTGTGATGCCTCGGGTTCCAGGTTGAAGGAAGGCAGGATATAAATGTAAATACCTGATTGCCTTTCTTCTTTCCTGCATATCTGAAGAAACATACAGCTTCATCTCGTCTTTGGCGCGCTGAAGGCTGACTTCTAGGATCTAAGAAGAAACACCTAAATTTAGATACCAACTGCCCTTCCCATGGAAGCAGTATCATCTTACTGAATGACTACAAAAGAACCTTTCTCAGACCGACCTTTTTCATGCAGTTGATGTGATGATAGCGGCTTTCCTCCTGAATACACTCTTCATGAAGGCCCTTCACCTCCTAAAGCAGGAAGCGCACATTTTTAACATGTATGATGGCAAAAAGCCTGCAACATCAGGACCATTTTCAAGGAAAGAGCGCCTGTTGTCAACAGTCACTGATGATTTAATTGCTTCCTCTTCAGCCAAAGCAAGCAAAATAACGCTGTTAAGTTTAACTGCTCCAGGGGTGGGTGCAGCCAACCGTTTTGCCACATGTCTGCACCTGGCAGAATGCCTGGATGCAGCCCCCTGCCCACCTGAGCGCATGTAAAACCAAGCTGATGAGAGCCAGTCTAGTGTAGTGGTTAAGAGCGGTAGTCTCGTAATCTGGGGAACCAGGTTCGCGTCTCTGCTCCTCCACATGCAGCTGCTGGGTGACCTTGGGCCAGTCACACTTCTCTGAAGTCTCAGCCCCACTCACCTCACAGAGTGTTTGTTGTGGGGGAGGAAGGGAAAGGAGAATGTTAGCCGCTTTGAGACTCCTTAAAAGGGAGTGAAAGGCGGGATATCAAATCCAAACTCTTCTTCTAACTGGTCCAGGGGTGGGTGCAGCCAACCGTTTTGCCACATGTCTGCACCTGGCAGAATGCCTGGATGCAGCCCCCTGCCCACCTGAGCGCATGTAAAACCAAGCTGATGAGATATGGAGGGGCAGCCCTGTCCTGCCTGCCATCCTACCTGCTCCAGTGCAGAACGGTTGCTCTCCAGGCCTGCTGCACAGCTGTCATACTGGGTTTTTTTCTCTCCGCATTCTTGGGTCAATTCCTGGCGGGGGGAAAGGTAGAAGGGCACATGAATTCTATCAGCATGTGGCACCTGGGGAGATCATGTTCTTGTCAGTCCTGCTGCCTAACCTCAGCTATTGGCACACAGAGGCCCTTACATAAACGGAAAAGGCATCTGAGGCACAGCACTCATGGGGAAGCCACCAGCTTCGCAGACCGATAGATCAAATATGGTAAACCACCACGTAACTTGCAAGCTCCCCCCCTCCCGCCCCAACTTTAAAAACATGTATCACTACCCAGCGTCGTTAATGCTTTGGTGGATTAGGTTTCCCACTTGTTCATTCCATAGCCTAGATTTTGACTCGGCTGCATTAAAATTAAGCTCGCGAGATTGTAAAAGGATTGTGTTCCTGTACAAACAGTTTGTACAGATATTCACTTATGCCATGAGATAATCGGCATCACTAGCAACAGAGCACTCTCGTGAAAGGTAAACTACAATCCAGCTTGTGATAGAAAGTATGGCAGGGCATACTATACTGGTGAGGCAGCAAGTAGACCTGGTGTAGGCCAGTCTTCCCTAGCCTGGGCCCCCATCACTGAAGCTGATGGGATTTAGAGTCCAAAACAGCCCCAGAGCCCCAGGCTGGTGTATTCTACAAATCGTGCTTAAAATCAAAGCTTGCCTTCACCCACGTAATAAAATAACTAAGGTTGGGGGAGCATATTTCAAATGAGGGTGCAGGACACCAGGAATTTCTCCTACCTTAGGCCCACTGTAATAAATATAAGTGGTGTCTCAATGGGTTACATCAGACCACCTGAGTGTTCTGCTAGGGGGTGTCATTTTAGGAGGTGAAACCTAATTTTTGCAATTTTTTTCAGTGAGGCACCTTATATTTTTTAAGGTTTCGGATCTGCTATTATTTTTGTGATTGGTCAATATTTAGCTTGGTAAGTCTACATTTGATGAAGAAGTACATAAGCTACTTTTGGAAAACCAAAGAATGTAATTTTACCTTCTGAAAATGTCAGATAATGCTAAATAGCAACAATAAATAATAACAAAAACATTAATATATAAGATAACTGCAAGTACTTGGCAATCATTTATAATGATTTCTATGCACTTTGACACTTATTTTTCTTACAGAGAAAAACTAAATTATATTAATTTATCCAAAATACATTTCAAATTCCCATGTCATGTTACAACATTTTAGCACCCCTCATTTTTGGAATTTGAAAGTTGGAAAATTCAACATGCCCTAATGTTCTGCTCATGTGAATGGCCTGAAGGTGACCATCACCCCCTTCCTCTGGCCGGCAGATGAGTATGATGCATCGGAACATGGAGGTTTCACCCTTATTTAAGGCATTTTATCCTTTGCCCTTTAGCAAAAGAGACTCTCATATTGGCTTTCAAGAGAGCAGCAGCTCCTTGCCACTGTCAGTGGCAATTCTACCTGCCTTGCCCCCCCCCCAAGCTCTCTTTCTGCCCCCCATCAGATCCAGGAGCACAGCTTCTCACAGGGCCCAGGCCACGAGAACAGGACAGCTCCTGTCATATAGTTTGCTCGCCAGACAGCTAACAAGTTAACCATTGCACCAAAACTTTGCACAAGTCCTCAATAGCTGTCTTCTCTGACCATCTCAGGCTCCTTAGGGCACCAGTTTTCCTCATCTCAGCCAGAGCTTCACAGCAGCGCTCCTCATTCCAACCCTGTCTTGAATTTAGCAATGTCTTAAAGCCACACAGGTTTGTATCTGACACATATACACTGTCTTGAGTTTGAGAAAAACACTAACAGACCCAGCAAACAAGCACATGATGAGCATACTAAATGGTGGATCCCTGGGAGTCCAGTGTAGGAGTGGAATATAGGTTTTTTTTAAAGTAAATACTAACATTCACTCAACTATTATTTCTTCCAATGAGGTTTACACTTGAAGAAACACTTTAAAATATAGTCATACCTCGGGTTGAAAGTGCTTCAGGTTGAGTGCTTTTGGGTTGCACTCCACGGCAACCCAGAAGTAATGGAGCGCATTACTTCTGGGTTTCGCCGCTTGTGCATGTGCAGATGTTCAAAATGACGTCACACGCATGCACGGAAGCGGCAAAACGCGACTTGCGCACGCGCAGAGGTGCAGTTGCGTCTTACGTGCTATTCAGGATGCGAACGGGGCTCTGGAACAGATCCCGTTTGCATCCCGAGGTACCACTGTAGCTGAAAACACCAGATGCAGTTGATCATCTCCCCCAAATGTACATTTTGGCCTATACGATAGAGGCATCTAGCCACAGATAGTGTGGAGCATTACTTAGGGGGAGGCTCTGAGCCTCTTACTGCCATACAGGCAGAACTGCAGGAGAGGCGTTGGGAGAAATCTTGTCGCACTGTGATCAGCCCAAACCATTTGTTCAAACAAACAAAAACAAACAAATTCAAGTCTCCTCTACTCACCTGACACTTCTGTCGCAACTGCCTTAAATCTTTGATAATCGGAGCAAGGCTTGACTTCTTATCAGCCACCATAGCATTCAGTTTTTTCACCTGTTTTACGGGAGGGAAACGCATCACATGAATATGTTATTAACAGCATAGCAAGAAAGCTGGAAACAAAGGAAGATTAGAAAGACAAATGGAGAGGGAATGATCAACTAAGATGTGATAAATGGAGACTGGCCATATACCCAGCACAAGCAGTGTTGGCACACCAGTATACCCACAGCCACGCTGGTCTGCCAAAGTAGATCTTGCAGGGTGGTGGTAAGATTCAAACAGACAACACCCTTCCTTTCAACAGAGCCTTTAAATACGGGGGAGGAAAATCACCATTTCAGACATGTTATCCAGAGTCCGACCCTTCATTTCATCCATTTCGCTCTTCACGGCTGACACTCTCTCTAGCTCCTCCTGTGTATAGCTGTATCCAGAGATACCCTTCTTGTCTTCAATTGCTTGCTGTTAGCATAGAAAAAGAAAGACATTTCTGAGTATACGTTCTGACAGCAGACAAGCAAACGGATTCTGAATTGCAACCAATAAATAGTAAGAAAGCCCTGTGAAAAGTTAAAGACTGTGTCAGGGGACTGGCATCGGAACAGGGGAGGAAGGTGGGGGGCTGTTGCGATACAGAGAGCCTCCAAAACTCCTGAGGAGCAGTTCCTCTTCCAGTGGTGGGGAAAGCCACCCCTCCAGTGGAGAAGAGAGGGAAGGGGCCAGCCAAGCGAGGAGAGGGCTCGGGGATGCTGCGGAGAGCCCCAGTGCCTCACCTAGCTAGGCTGGCCAGGAGGGACGCACACCACTTCCGGGGTCAAACGCAAGGAGGGGAGGCAAAGGCTTGGGGTGCCTAAGTTCTTATGTTGGGGGAGAAGCCAGAAGGGGCCACTTCCAGATTCTACAAGTGACTAAGACAGACATGAACTTTGTGTATCTGCACTGTATATAGTTTGCACAATAAAACCTGTAAAAGACAGGTCGGAGTCCTGTCTGGTTACTCATGAGCAACCGCCATCACCATCTGACAGACTGCCTAGTTTGTTTTTTGATTAACTAAATCAGGGGTTGTCAACCTGGTCCCTATCGTCCATTAGTGGGTGTTTCAGGATTCCAGGTGGGCGGGAGGGGGTTCTACGGCACAAGCTGAATCCTCCTTCCATCGAGCACTGGTTGGAGGTAAGGAAATTTTACCATCAAGAAAGATGCATTAGTGGGCAGTAGGTATAAAAAGGTTGACTACCCCTGAACTAAACTATATGAAAATCAATAAGAACAGGTCAGCTGCTGTAGCAAGACATCTCTCCTTAAAGGGCATCTTTGCACAAATCGCCTAGAGGAGCTTCTAAAGAACCAGGTGCATTTGCAATCATCCATTACTTTAATCTGTGGAGGATGAAATAATTCTGAGTGTGCTGTTGTTATTTATTTACTAAGCCGTGCCTTCCACACACAGATTAATAATGTTTGATCAAGAAATGGGGGACAACACTTATTATCATCTTACAGCCTCACTTGCAGCCTGTTCTGCTTTGTTTCAGAAGAAATAAAATGTTTTACTGAGCAGGGAAGAAATCAAAATACACACTTGGTTACATGGGTTTCCATATTTTGCCACAGCTTCTCTTTTAATTGATAAAAATATGAGTAGCTTTAGGAAAAGGGCCCATCGCTACACCAAAGCAATCTTCTAACAAAGCAAGTGAAGGAAGAAAGACATGATGCCATGGAAGTGGGCTGGGAGAAGGGCATTGGGCACTGAGCGTTCCTGTAATGATTGTATCTTCACTGACTTCAGCGGCCCAGTTTGTGTCTAAAACTAAACCAAACTGCGGCTTAGGGCAAAAGAGGGAATGTGTGGGTTCCCAAAGCTTAGCGCTACGTGTGCACCAGGTCAATGTGCATGGGGAAGCCACTTCAATTTTTTAAAAGCAAGGCAGAATTTCAGCTTTTGAATAACAACATGCTAGAACTGAGATACCATGTACATAACTTCTTTTAACATACAATAAAGTCTAGCTCATGTCATTAGAACTGTCTCAAAGCCAATGCTAAAATACTGAACCTAAAAAAAAAGCTTCACTTAGCCTTGTTTACAACACAAGTGTAAATGTCACTCTGATCATGAAACCACATAACTCAAACAAATGTGTGGGTGCTCCCTCCCTCTCCCCCTTGCTCCTTTGCGCGCTTGGAACTGCCTCCCAAAACGCTTTGGATGCCGCCTCTCTAACTTCCTTCAAATCCTTCCTCAAAATCCACCCTTCCTGTGAAGCCTGAACACATGTAACTGATACAGTTGAAACTTTCCCCCCATCTCCACCCCTCCCACGCTGCATTTTTGACTGTAGGTTCCTTGGGGCAAGAAGCTCTCCCCCTGCATTGTGTAAAGCACTTAGTGCCCTGGCGGTGCTGGAACAACCCCAGGCTTGGCCTGTTTGGCTTTGCAGGAAGAGCTGGAAGCTAGAAGATTCATCCTGGCTACCTGCATTTCACAGTATGGACAAAAGATATTGAATGGCCCATTACCAGCTGCTGCTGGATATCCTCATGGCGCTGTTTTAGGAGCTCCTCTGTTCTCTGCAGGATGCCGTACTCAGCTGTAATTTCTGCTATATCCAGGCGCTTCTTTTTGTAAAGCGTGTTTTTGCTCCGAAGCTTATTAACATACCGCTTAAACTGAAATGAGAGATAACAGGGACCTTTGAAATATGAGGAAGTTAGATTTAGCACGCACTGTTACACCCCGTCAAAATGTTTTGGGGCGGCCTTCCTCTCTGTTAAGTATGTATCTCCCTCAGGAGTCCTGTACATACCAATACCAAAACAACCTTTTTTAAAAAAAGGAAACTACCGGTACATTTCTTTTTTAAAAAAACTGTGATATAAGTAACCTTTCTAAGTGTAAAAAATTGTGCTGCTTTTAAATAACAAATGCTTAAAGGTAGCCATCACTGGCAGTCTGAGACCCCTGAGTAAGTGTATGCTCTATAAATAGCGTTGCAGGCAAAGAGCCCATCCTGAAATCAGCCCAGATCATCTGCCATCCTGTGCAGGGCGGTGATGCTTTGTCTACCTTGCTGTGCTCCCGTAACTATTTTTAAAGCCAAACACTGTGGACATTCTTAGTGAAAGAACAAACCCACCTATTGCTCAGTGTGTGTTCAACGCAGACCAGGCTATGTGTACCTTTAAGAACAGTCTTTTCTGCTGTGCCAAGGCTCAGGACAAGGTCACAGAAGTCACACAAGAAAACAAGTGCATGATCATTTCAGGTTTTGGCAGGGTGCGGACCCCCAAAGCACAGCTGCTGTGGAAGCTCTGCTCATTTCAGTGGGGCTTGCACATCTCCCTAGCAGATGTTTGTTTTTTGCTTAAGAGAATAAAAGGCCCCCCTGTCCAGCAACAGCATTTGAAAGACCCACCTAGCAGTGATAACCTTGGTAATAAGTTGCTTGCACACGCCCACCTAAAATGGCATTTGCACCACTTCGGTGGTCTTAAAAGAAAAGAAAAAAGGAACCAACTCACTTCCATTTAACAAAAGTTTCCCTGCCTGAGGGGATTCTGACTTGCCATAGGTGAGTCACCGGGTTGTTTACCTATGAAAGTCAGACAGATGCTGATTGCCCTGTCAAATCTGATCTTGCCTGCAGAATTCAGCATCCTGATAACCTCAGCTTTCCTTTTTTTAAAAGAAAACCAAGCAACTCTCTTGCATATACACATGTACAGCGACAGGTTTGATAGTGTGCAGCCAAAGCCTTGATGAAAGCTTCAAAGCCAGGCAGGAGCTCTGTTGAGTTTCCAGTGCTCCGGGCAGGAGTCGCCCCACACGGATTGGCAAAAGCAGAAATAATGATGTAAACAAAGGACACATAATGCAACAATCACATAATTTATACAGGTCACTGAATCCAGATTTTCCACACACATAATTACTTCTGCATAAAGTTTTAATTTTTTAAAAATGAAACACTTGATACTATAAAATACACTAAAAGTAAATGCTGGGATAACTAAGTGGGTGGAGCATGTGACTCTTAACCTCATGGTTATTGGTTCAAGCGCCACGTTGGGCAACAGATTCCTACACTGCGGGGGGTTGGGCCAGTCCCCACCTAACTGCCTTCTTACTGACAACCAGTCCAGGGAGTGGCGCTAGCTGAGAGCTCCACAGTCTTTTGCCCTTGAGGAACACAACAGGGAGAAGGACTGGGGTGCAGGAGCTGGCCTTGGCTCTGCCTCCATCCACTCTTGGCCTCCTGCCTTCCACCCCAGCACTCCAAGGGTTATCAGCCACCACTGTGGACCTCCTTCTTCCCTGGAGAGCCAAACTGCTTCTGAGCATGCTCAGACTCGAGGCCACTTCCTCAGCACTGCACATCCTGGGGAATCAAGTGGTAGGGACAACTTTCAAAGGGAAAGGAATACTGTGCTGACAGATTGTGAGGAGCGGGGAAAGTACTGCCTGATCAAGTCCATTCTGCTTACAGAGCGAGAAGAAAGTGAGGCCTAAAAGTCTTCCAACCAGCTGAACCAAATGGCTGAATTGAGCAAGTACAGTATGACAAAGTCTTCCCTGCAGCCGGACTGCTTGGCATTTTGGTGAAGTGTGGGTCTAAACCTGCCACAGCCGCTAACAACTGAAACCATTATGTAAAACAAGCATCTATCACGCTGTCTTCTCAGGAAAGAGAGGATTATAAAAGTACAGGGAAGTCATGACAAAGCAAAACTGCAGTGAGAACAGAGATGTTATTTACATAGCAAAGAAAAGAGGGCTTTGCAAAACAAAGCATCACAGCGCGAACGTTTTGACTGAATACCAAAGAAGTTCAACTCCACAAGAGGAACTATCTTGAAGGGGCCTTTCCTGCTCTGTTGTACTTCTGGCATTCACAAAGTAATTGGAGGCAGATGTTCAAGTGTGATTGTTCTCTCATTACTGGGTGTTGTTGTGGGGCAATCACAGGCATCTACTGAGGGCATCAACCCCAAACATATATCTTCCATCTGACAGCTTTCAGCACTGGTGGTGGTGGTGGTGGTGTTAACCTCCTTTCTGCAGCAACATGAACGCTCAAATAGCCCTTTAAAAAAAGTAAGCACAAAACAAGACCACCTCCTTTCACGGCTTCAATCCCTTGCCATGAAAGAATCATTTTGTTTTAAGAATTCTTTTCCTTTGCTTTGATGTGCACATTAGGACATTTCCTTTGCTGCTAAAGAAAGGGAGGAGCTGACTACCTCAATCCTTCCAGTTTTACCTGAACAAGTACGGGATCAATTCTTGCGCAAGTGAACTGCTAAGATGGAAGTGCTCCCATCACTCCTAAAATAATAATAATAATTAGCATCCGTTCTGGGAAATCCTTTGGCATTAAACTGGCCTGGAATTTTGGTTGCTCAATTGACATTGCAGGGGTGGGGAAACCTTTTCACCCTGAGGGTTTCGTTCTCCTGCAGGAAACTCTCCCCACATGCCAGTAGTGGTGGGCGGAGCTGGAAGCAAAAGTGGGAAGGCTAGTGGCCTCTCACCCCCCCTCCCCACATTTCTGCTTCCAGGGAAGCAAGGGCTCAAAGGTGCATTCCAGCTTGGCAAAGGACCTGGCGGCTGGAAGGCAGAGAGCAGGGCTGATGGGGACACAGCCTGGAGGGAGATGAAAGAGTCAGCTACAGGGGTATGGGGGGGGCTGCACTTGGCTTGCAGGCTGGAGGTTCCTGCCATTAAACTGTTCCTGCCTTGTGTGGCTTCCTGCTGCTTGCCCTGTTCTGTGTCCGGAGAAGCAAAAGGTGTTCATTAAGATGGTTCATTTATTTACGGTACACCCTTCCCCAAAGAAACCCACCCTCTAAACTTCAGAGTCTAAAGAGCGGAGGGAACCTGTGGCCCTCCAGATCTTGCTGGCCTGCAACTTCCATACTGGTTGGGGTGATGAGAGCCACAGACTTCCCACTCCTGTCCTAAGATAGCCCTGGACGGCCCACCAGTGTGGAAGGAGGAGAGCAAAACACAAGAATCAATAAGCCTGGAAACACAAAGGGAAACATTTTTTAAAATAAATACATAAGTCAATGTAGGTTCCTGAGAACATTCTTAATTAGATACTGCGAGACTCTCTTTAACTGCCTCAGCAGGATGCCATAGAAAAATGTTTGCGAAAGATATATATTGAAGATGATGGAGCAGATGGCCAATCTTCCTGCCAGTCCAATTAATGCAATACAGACAATCCCAAGCAGTTAAAAACATTTAGTCTAAGCAAATCTCTGGCTGTGACAAGCTCTCAACAGCCATTTGCAAGATATCACAGATCTTATCTTGGACAGCCATTTTGGGGTATGATTTATTACAGTTACTTCCATTCCCAGTTACGGAGCTGAAAAGCCCCACCCATTTCAGTGGGGTCTGGGGGGTGCATAAGCAGCTTCCTGGCTGCCGCCTGATGCTTGTGGAGAAACTGACTTCTACTGAAGAAGAAAAATATCCTGCGGTCGTCTTGTCGGAGAGGCCATTTGGGCCATTTTAAAATATCAGTATTAGGGAAACTGTTTCTGGGCCACACATGACTAAGGCTCCTGTTTGACCAGGCTAGGACCAGAGATGACAAATGTCTTTTAATTTATAGTAATCCAGAACTTTGTGCCTTAAAGTAAATCTCTATTAATCACCAGGGAAACCTAAGTGAATGTCCCATATTTAAAGGAAGAAAAATGTTTTGAAACAGCTCTGGTGCTTCAAAATGTCCAGTACTTTTTGGAAAATTAAGGGGCACCAGGCACCTCTTGCTGGTGTACACCTCCAGTGGCAGGCATGTGAGAAGGCCCTCTCCGATTCCACCCATAAGGCTTGCTTTAGCCGCATGTTTTTATACATGAACTGGAGTCCACCCTAAACCTGTAGTGAAGAAATGCCCAGGTTCAGAATTGCCCTGAAGTCTCTTTAGAAGAACCACCAGCACCTGGTCTGGATATGTCCCCTGAAGGGACATCACTTGCAGCTGTGGGCAGATTCCCAGTAGACAACCATGACCCATGAGACAGCCTGGCATGCTGGCTGGCTGGTTTCTGTTCTTCTTTTATTATGCATTTATTTTATTTATTTATTTATTTTATTATGCATTTTGTGTTCTTGTTTTGTACTTTTATGTTGTGAACCACTCTGTAATCTTTGGGTGAAGGGAAGTATATAAATTTAATAATTATTAATACTTATATTAATAATTTATTTGTTTCCTTTATGCCCTTTACCATATAATCTGAGGGTGAGTTACAACAATTTAAAAATAAGGTATTAAAAACCGTTTAAAACAAATTACAATCCAGAGAGATAAAGTATAGTTATGTGTGTGTATAACGTCAATCATGCTCTGGGCAGCAGCATCTTTAGTAATTCAGACCAGTCTATTTATTCTGCAATACACTCAAACTGGAAAAAGCCTTCTTAGTTCTTGGTGGAAAGCCGCAGATGAGCAAGATGAATGCTTTATCCATTCGAGTGAGTGCTCCAAGAGCATTCATGTGTGCTAAGCCACATTTTACACCTGAGCCACACCATAAGTTTGACTTCACTGACAGTTAATGCCCTGCTTCAAAAGTTCCTGGCTTCTGTAGCTATATGTCAGGTGACTGACTGTGGCTGCAATCCAGCCTAGGGGTTGGCTAGGTTGACGGCTGCCAAGGGCGAAGAGCCAGGGTGGTGCCTCTCCACTCTGGCTTCGAGTGGCTAGGAGTCCATGCACCTGTCCATACGCTCCCCAGGCCAGGCCAGGTAGCCAGGTGACGTGCGCATTCTCCTTTGGCAAGAGCACAAGGGACAGGGAGAACCAATACAGCTCCTTGCCAAGGGAGCCTAGGTCCACCTTTGATGCACTTAAATGAGTAAACCCCATTTAAAACAATGAGACTTACTTCTGAGTAGGCATATAGGATGGCATTGTACTCTCCACCCCAGCTCCCAAAGCAGGAGCCTATTTTGAACAGGCTGAAGGACTAGCAACAGTGGCTCTGCCCACTGACTCACTTTGGCACAAAAGACTCCCCAATCCCTTTGTTCCAGGGCAAATACTGAGAGGCTTTTGCAGCATTCCACCCCCACCCCCCACCCCTGCACAATTACGCCCTTCAGTTACAGGCAAAAGGGAATGAATAGCCAAAAGGCAGAAAGACAGGACTCTGACCAAGCATCTGTTGCTATTCAGCTCTGAAACTGGGTCTGAAACCAGACTGAGAATTGGTATAATCCAAAAACACTTTGGAGTTAGACCTTCACCATATACCTTGCTCCCCTGAAAGCTGTTTTGAGACTGGATAACTATTAAGTTGCGTGATGTCCAAGGAGCACTTTTTCAACAGATGTCTAATCACTGCCTAAACAGTGGGGACTTCAGGCTTCATGATCTCTTCTGCCTTATCTGGCCACTAATCAGACAGGAGAGGCAAGGCTTCAGCAGGCAGGTGGCATCTCTGGCACCTCCATGTTATCACCCTGCACCAAGTGAAAACTACCTTGCCCAAGTTGCCTCTCCCTCTTCTCCGTTGCCATCTGGACCTTCCAGCCTTCCATCTCCCCTGCTGTGCTTTCAGCTTTCCTTCTGACCGAGAGTGAGTCAGGGCCCTAATCTCGCCAGGACTGCCCCACAGCCACCCCCTCATCCCTCTGACTTCAGGATCTGCTTGGCGTCCAGCTCTGAAATGGACTAGGCTAGAGCTTGCTGACCACTGGACCGGATCCTTTGGCACTCATCCTGCTGCGCTCATTGACAGCAAAATAGTTTCTGTGAGATTAATGCCACTTTGATTTTGTTCCATCCAGCATGCTGAGGAAGTTGGGCGGGGTGAGAGATCTAGGCTCCCCCAAACCTGTGTTCAGCTTTAAAAAGAGTACAATGTGCTGTGAAAGGGAGCTAAAAATATATCCAGTTTACCTAGGATCACTTGTAATTGAACCACCTACCCTTCTAAGAGCTGGAATGTGATTCTCTAATTTTCAGGATCTGACAGCTGCAGGGAGAAGCGTGCCAGCATTGTCTGCGTTTCTTTTGCTTTTCTGAAATAGCATCTCAGGTTCTTTCATGATATTCTTCTCTTTGCAAGAGACAACTTTACCCCCTGACTTCTATGCGGTTTCTACTAAACACACACCAGCTATCTCCTGCTGTTTGCTTGTCAGTTCCAGCCAGCTGTGCAAACGCCGGCCCTCATAGGACTGGAGGGCTGTGTGTTCCTCTGCATCGTTAGAGGAGAAAGCAACATGCCGGCAAGTAAAAACATAAGCCAGGGTTGACCTTTCTGTGGATGAAGTGTTAAGACCTCAGCTGAGGATACGATTGCTGGTATGTGAGAGTCCAGGGAGAGAAGGCATTAACTCATCTGAGTGCCAGGCCACAAGGGGATACAGCAACCCAAACCTAGGGAGCGGTGGGCAAAGACATAGCAAACCAGGTCAAATAACAATTAATTAAGACCTCTAGCACCACATCCAAAGTATTAGGGACACAGAAATTAGGAACCAAGTGGTATAAAGGCCATCCCAGGATCACCCCCCCCACCTCAAACCAAAAGTGTGTTCAGTTTAGCACATGCTGTCCTCTATAGCCAGGGAAGCTCAAAACCACTGCAAGGGGGCATCCACTATGCTAGTGTTAGTTCTCCCCAGTCACATGCTCACCACCATTTATAATTTAACAAGACTCTTTCATGGTTGTTGTTTTCTAAGCGCTCAAGAGCTTGGAGTGCTTAAAACTTCATTAGAGGTTTAAAACTATGGAGAAGGTGCAAAATGAAGTTTATTATGTTAATTCAAAAATAAACTCAAATATGTGCCAAACCATCAGTGGTGTTTTCTCAAAACAGCAGTGAACGTGAAACTATGGTAGGCTGCTGGTGTCCTCTTTTTCATTTAGAAAAAACAAAGGCAGGGAGGACATGAGAGGTTTATAAAATTGTGCACAGGGAGTGGAGATAAGAGTGTTTGCCACTTTCTCATGCTACTAGAACTCAGGGTCATCCAGTCAAACTGACTGGTTGGAGATTCAAGACAGACACACAATTAATTTATGGATTTCACTTCCACGAGTTGTGGTGACTGATGGCCAGTAGCAGCTAAGATGGCTTTAAAAGGGGACCAACAGCTTAATGGAGGAGTAGAGCCTATCAGTGGCTTTATGGAACCTCCATAACAGCTTCTGGAGGCAATATGGGAGAAGTCTATTGCCTTCATGCCTTTCTGGTGGGCCTCCTGTAGGCATCTGTTTGGCCAGCATTGGAAGCAAGATGCTGAACAAGACAGCCCTCTGGTCTGAGCCAGCACAGCTCTTCTTAAGCTTTTGTAGAAAACCTCCTAGATGGAAGTTAGAAGGTATTTGAACATGCCTGCCTGCTCTTTCCCCTCCTTGCCTTACTCCACATTGCAGCACAGCCATGAGCTCAACTTCCTTTGCTCGCCAGTTTCCTGTTCCACCGTTGTTGTGGGTCTTAACAGTTTAGCTACTTTACAGATTGTTCCCGTCAGGTGCATTGACAACGTGGAACATTTTTTATGTACTTTACAATACACTGAACTAACAGCAGATAAGACAAAGCGTTTGTGGTTCTCCCTCTCTCTCTTGCAACACTCTGCTGCTGAGTAATTAATCACTACTTTGCATAGCAGGAATGTTATGATTGCCTGCTTTCAAATTTAACTAAAACAAAGGTTAAGTGTGAAGCTGAAGCTAATATACTACCTAGGAGGATTTAAAAAAGCAGTCTTGGGTTTATGGAATAATAGGAAATAGTGGACTTGCAACAGGATTAGGTGTTGAAGCCAGAATGTCATTTTCCTTTAAAGACTCTTATCTCAAGGGTTTGTCATCTAGCTGTCTTAGGTTGCAAAGACTGGCTGCTGAAGCCATATTTGGTATGGGGAATAGTGCCCTTTACTTCAGAGAAGATAATGCAGCAGGGGAAGGGCCAAAACGCTATGCTTAAGTTCTTGGCATTCAGCAAGAGCTACCGTGACTGCTGCTTCTTCCTTGAACTGCCCGCCTCAAAGTCTTGCTTCTTAACCTCTCCCAACCTTTTCCTTACCCTTTCCTCCCACAGTCTCTCATGGCCCCCAGACCCAAAGACTGTGGAGTCCCACAGATGGCTGATGCTACTTCTGCCTGCTCCCAGTTTTCTCAGACCCTTGTAGAGCTGCAGTGGAAGCAGAAAGGGAGGCAATAAGAGCATCTCTGGTTTGCTGCCTGCGAGCTGCACGTGGCTCCCATGGGCCACTTTAAGAGGGCCTTAAAGGTGACATAAAAGCATGGAAATAAAATAGTAAGGGACCAGTCTGTCAAACATGAAACGTAAGAATGGTGTGTGCCAAAATGGTGTGTGCTATTCAGTTGTCCTTGGGAGTTAATGGGATCCACTGTAACAGTTAAACACAGAGGCCAAGAGACAAAAGCATGACAAGACATCTGGATGCAGGTGGGGGCTTTTGGTTTACATCAGCTGCTAACATCAGCTGCTGAGGCAGTGTAACAAATCACTTTTGATCTGAGAGGCTTTCCCATAGCAGCCTATTCAACCACACTGGCTGCCCAAGCAGTAACTGCTGGAATGGAGGGTGTATGTACAATAATCTCAAGACACATGTGCAAGCTTTCACATTTTCTCTCCTCACTCACCCTGACCCTGCACTTACCTCATCCCCTTTCAAGACTTCGGCCCCATTCAGTTCCCGGGCTTGGCTTGACTTCTGCAACATTTGCTTCTCTAGGTTGGACAGCTCTTCCTTGGCAGCCTGAAGCTCTTCGGCCTTGGCTGCCTTCTTCCGGGAAATGATGGAGGCCTGTTGGGTCATGTTTATCAATCATCATTGCAGCACACGGCAGGTAGGGCAGCACAATGGGCAGAGTGGAAACGATCAAGGCATGAGATGCCAGCATACAATACAGACTTGAAACTGAATCCTTGGATTAGAACAAAGTCTGCTTTACCTTCATGTAGCTGCACTAGGACTTCAGACACATAATGACATCGAAAGGAGAAGGAAAACAGATCCCCCCCTTCCTGTAAAAGGACTTTGCTGCCTTGCTACTTAGAAATAATTCCTCCTCAACACGGGTGTGGGTAAGTGGCAACTGTGCCACTTATTTTTTTAAAAAAAACTTTATTTTTGCCATCACAGAATTCCGAGAGGCATACCTAGGAGTCGCAGGCAGTTTCCCATCCAGGCACTAATCAGACCCAGACCAGACCTGCTTAGCTTTTGCAAGGTGGCTGCATTATGTGCCCTCAGCCATGTTCTGCGGCTTCTATGCTGCAGTTAAGAATCAGATTACTGTTGGCCAAGCATTCTACTTTGGCAGCCACATCTGATGATTTCCTTTAGTTCATTTTCAAAAATTAAATATTTTAAACTGTAGCAATGAAGAGAAAGATCCTGCAGTTATTTCACCAGTGTCTTAATGTGGATTTTCATAGCGTAGCCCTTCAACAAGCTATAGAAATGCACAGGACACAGATTAAAACAGAACAGACCAATAAAACACCAATAAATTGAAAAAAAAGTCTGTATCCACGTTACAAGGCATATTTGATAAGACTTCTAAAATAGAAACAAATGTTGCTTAAGACATTGAAAACAGTCACATTTTAAAATCTGAATCATATAGTCTAGAAGTGTATTGTATTATTATTTTGAACTGTTGTAGTTTTAATTTAGAGATTCTCACACCATTTCTCCATCAGACAAATATAAGAACAAAGTTCCTGAAAATGGTAGGAGTGGCAATTTTAAGAGCACAACACATTAATATTTCACCATGCATTAGCACTCTGATGGACAACAGTTTCCAGAGGTCTTTTGCACCCGTTACCTAAGATCATTTATTTATCTAAAACATTTCCATCTAGTCTTTACACAATTGCACAAGGCAGCTTGCAGCATTTAACTGGAAATGTCAGGGATTGAACCTGGGACCTTCTGCATGCAAACCACGCACTCTCCTACTGAGCTATGCCCCCCCCATCACCCACCACCCATTAGCAGGACTCTATGAGGTCATCATGCAGATGGGGGAAATACAGAATCTAATTTAAGTGGAGACAGATAATATAATGAAAGAGGAATGCTTTTATTTCGTTCAGGCCTCCTTGGGATAAATATAATAATTTTTAAAACAGCACAATCCATTATTTCCTTTTATGCAGCATTTTGAGTGTTGCTTTCAACAGAATAACGCTTTCCAGAGCATTTCTATACTATTGCAAGTACCAAAAGGCTGCAGTTCAAACATACAGCTTCGGATTATGTTACAGAGTTCTAAAAATTAAACACAAGCCTGCTGTTTTTTCTTATTTAAAACATGGATTATACAGCAATAGTGTAGGCAGTTTTTGAGAACAGCCTCCACTCACCGGATTAAAAAGCTTTCTATAGCCTATCTATGGTGATTCAGCCTCTACGGTATTCATGCCTTTCCCTTCTCCAAACTAGGCCCATGGTGACAAATTGTGTTAAAAACATATGGGGTGATCTTGTGAAGCCGACGACAGTGCCCTGTGGAGCTGAGAGGAGTCTGCCATATGTTATTGACCAAGGGAAGCGCTCTGAATTCCTGGAATGGCTCATCCAAGGGACGTCAACACTTTATATTAGGAGCCAGCTGGTCTCTTGTACCAGCACATTATGTAGCATTCTTAACCTTGTAACACATCACTCACTTAAACAAGGTGCTGCAGGTCACATTCGCAACCAGATAGCCTACCTTTTTAATGTACCCAACTCAACATTTTGACCACTGACTTTGGAGCTGTCTCACATTATATAGATGGGTTGATCATCAAATTTGTAAATCAAAATATAAGCAAAATTCAAAGTCTCACAGGAAATTGGCTGCTCATGATAAGATAAGTGAACCACCCTGAGATCTTAAGATGAAGGGCTGCGTATAAATGCAATAAATAATAAATACATGATTTTTCAAAATAACATTTCTCTTTAGAGAAGACTCTGTTCTCACCTGTTGTCGATACATTGAAAATTTACTATCGATTGGTTCATATTTCATCATCCGCTTCTCAATCAACTGATTGATTTGTATGTTGACCTCATTTATCTGAAATGTAGATTAAAACACGAAAAACGCTTGTCATCTGAGAAAAGGTTTTCACGGCCAATGCAAAATTATGTCATTTTTATTGCTCTGCAACAGAAGAGACTTCCAGAAATTGCTTCAAACGTCAATAAGGGATTCAAGCACAGTATCAGATCTAATTTTTAAAAAAGCAGCTCCAGGACTTTTCCAAAACCACACAGGGTGTCTGGAAACATGTCATTAGCAATTACTCCTTATTTATTTAAATATCACCGTTCCCTTCAGCTTCCCAGTCCAAAAGCTTAAATTCCTTATTAGCAAGCAAACTCTCTGAGCCAAAAAGCAAAGAGGCTGGTGGACCCATTCTGCAAAGTGTTTCTCTCTGTGAACTTTTCATTCAGTCACGATTAATAACTAGACTAAACGTCTAAAATTCCAGCCTCTTTCTTTCCCCAGAACAATTTCTTGCGATTTAACTGTGCTTTGAAAAGACACAGATGCTCCTCTTTCACAGCCCGTTTCTGTAATCTGCCCTGAACCCTGTGGGATGGCTGGATATAAATCAAGACACTTGTTAAAATAAAAGAAATCAGAGCAAGGACAGAGCTACTCCATTTCACTCTCACTCACTAGGCTGCTGCTTTAGGCAGCTAGTTTGGATGCAAATAGCAAAAACTCCCCAATACCTGTTTGTTCACTTTTGGCACACTGCTATACGACAAAGAGTCTTGTAGCTCCTTCAACTCAAACATATCTTTGGGCTTTAAGGTGCTACAAGGCTCCTTGCTGGTTTTGCTGCAAAACAAAGACCATGGTTATCCCTCTGAAAGCTGCCATATTGCAGGAATGTCCCAAGATTTTGAGACCATATCATGACACAGACCTTGGAAACGAGTTCTCTCAGAGGCTCATGGCTTTGCACATGAAAGATTTCTAAATATCAACATCCTCATATAGGAGGTGCTTATTTTCCCCTTCCAATATCAGTGCAGAGCAAGTATAGAATTCTGTTGGCCTGGTTTGCACATCACGTTAAACCACAGTTATAACAGCTGAAATTGTGGGTGCTTCACTATTCCTGCACTCTTTCTGTTGCATTATCTGTTGCTGTAGTTTGCATCCCCCAAGCAAAGAGCAAACCTTGGCTTGTTTGGAGAAAAACACAAACCATGAGCCCCTGTTCAAACAACAAAACAAGCCAGACTGCAGATTGTTTCCTGGCAGTTGCAGAAGCAGGGAAGAAGCAAAGTATCTGCAGTTTCAGCAGGATGCACTAGTTTAGTTTAATTACAGCTTGACGTGACGTGCAAACTGGGCCATTATACCCACAATTCTTTTGACAAATGCATTCAACTATTTCACCCAAAGATGGGGGAAACTTATTTGGAATGAACTCACAAAAGACTTTGAGTTAATATACAATTGCTAAGGACTTTGTATTCTTTTGGAGTTTCATGAATGAAGACATTGTGTGAAAGGGACATTTGCAGCTCCAGTTCATGAATATAAAATGGATGCCCTGGGATAATGTCCAGGAAGCCCAGAGGTATCCTGGGATAACCCCCAGAAGTCTATTCCTGGACATTCAGTTGGTGCATAGGCAGTTCTTTTGCAAAAGAGTCCTTGAAGTGCCATACACAACAATAGTATACATTAAATCAAGGCCTGACAGGGGATCTGTTACCATGAGTCACATGAGTGTTCCTATTGCCATGGCCTTTATGCCCTCCTTGTGGTCTTCCCAGAGGCATCTTGCTGGCCACTGTGGGAAACCAAGATGCTGGACAAGATAAAGCCCTGAGCTGATCCAGCAGGGATCTTTTCTCTCTCTCTGATTTCAATTTATATCCTGCATTCTACATATATTACATATAATACACATATAATAATTATATTTGTAGAATTATATATGGGGGGGTTATTGAGTTGTTTTATTTTGATTATATGTTTTGTGGTTTTATATTTTGACTTTGTTCTGTGAATCACCCTGAAACCTTTGGGTATAGTGTGGTATATAAATTCAATCAATCAAATCAAATTGAAGAACAAATGAAACCAATTAAGATGAGTTGTATGAAAGGACATCAGAGGGGAGGCTAAGTGGGCCTCACTGAAGAGAGAGTTCAGAATGTTGGGGCTCTTATGTTTGCAAAGTTATTCTTAGATTTCCCCCAAACACAGAAGAAACGGTACAGTGGTACCTCGGGTTACAGACGCTTCAGGTTACAGACTCCGCTAACCCAGAAATAGTACCTCGGGTTAAGAACTTTGCTTTGGGATGAGAACAGAAATTGCACGGCGGCGACAGCGGGAGGCCCGATTAGCTAAAGTGGTACCTCAGGTTAAGAACAGTTTTCAGGTTAAGAACAGACCTCCAGAAAAAATTAAGTTCTTAACCCGAGGTACCACTGTATTGCAGTCAATTATCAAACCTTAACAAGCTCTAGGTTTCAACATTTCAAATGCTGCAATAAGAAGGAAAATTGATATGCTAAATTATATGCCAAATTAGTCATAATGTTAGTATCTAAAAAAAAAAAAAAAAAAGGACCGTGTACGTTATTACTTCAATGTGAATGCCAATCACACTCAGCATTCAAATTATTGCAGAAATATATGGAGCCTATTTCTCCATTTTCATGTTTTCATGCAAGCCCTGAGAGGACATTACTCTAAAACATAAGGCTGTGAAGAAATGACCTTTTGAAATGCAAAACGAGTAATATAATTTCCTAATAAGCTTTGAGTAATAATCTGTATGTGTATTTTGGTGAGCACCTTGGAGCTTCTTGAAAAAAGTTAAAACAATTTCCTTATGATTTAAAGCAAAGAACAAGTTAAAATATTGATGGATGTAGTGAGGGATAACAAAAATCTGACAACCGGCCAGCAGAAAACACGCTGAGTCTGGGCACATACATTTTTACATTATGGTTCAGCCCACTCCCAAAACATAATCTGTTTGCCTCAGATGGGGCATGCAGTACAGTGGTACCCCGCAAGACGAACGCCTCGCGAGACGAAAAACTCGCAAAACGAAAGGTTTTTTCGTTTTCGAGTTGCCTCGCAAGACGAATTTCCCTATGGGCTTGCTTCGCAAAACGAAGCTTGCCCAGGGGACAGCGGGTCTTCTCTTTTGAAGCAAGGGGCGGCGGGGAGAAGCGATCTTCTCCCCGCAGCCCCAGGTCCGGGGACAGCGGGAAGCGCTTCCCGCTGCCCCCGGACCTCTTTTGAAGCAAGGGGCTGCGGGGAGATCGCTTCTCCCCACCGCCCCTTGCTTCAAAAGAGGTCCAGGGACAGCAGGAAGCGCAGCGCTTCTTCCCCGCTGCCCCCGGACCTCTTTTGAAGCAAGGGGCTGCGGGGAGATCGCTTCTCCCCACCGCCCCTTGCTTCAAAAGAGGTCCGGGGACAGCTGCCCCCAGACCTCTTTTGAAGCAAGGGGCTGCGGGGAGATCGCTTCTCCCGGTGCTCCGAAGCCGGGCGGGGGGGGAGGGAACACCTGCCCCCACCACCCGGCTTCGGAACGCTGCTCCGAAGCGGGGCGGGGGGGCGGGAACACCTGCCCCAGCCGCCCCGCTTCGGAACGCTGCTCCGAAGCGGGGCGGGGGGGGCGGGAACACCTGCCCCAGCCGCCCCGCTTCGGAACGCTGCCCCGAAGCGGGGCGGGGGGGCGGGAACCTCTCACCCCGCCGCCGGGCATCGGAACGAGGTCCTGGACCTCTTCTGAAGGCAGGCGGGGGCAAAAGTCTTTGATCCCCCCGCCTGCCTTCCCGGGACAGCGGAGACTTCTCTGCTGCCCCGGGCGATCTTAAAATGCTGGCGGGCGGGAGCGAAGCGTTCGCTGCCGACCCCCAGCATTTTAAAATCTCCTCGGGGCAGCGGAGACTTCGCTCCCACCCGCCAGCATTTTAAAATTGCCCCGGGACAGCAGGGGCTTTTAAAATGCTGGCAGTCGGCAGCAAAGCCCTCCTGTCCCCGGAGCTTGCGGGGCGGGAGGTGGGAAGAAGGGCTTTTCTTCCCACCGCCAGCCTTCAGAACAGCCTTCTGAAGGCTGGCAGTGGGAAGAAAAGCCCTTGTCCCCCCCCCAGCCTTCAGAAGAGGTTGGGGGACAGACTGTCCCCGGACCTGGTCTGAAGGCGGTTTCCCTAGGAACGCATTAATTGATTTTCAATGCATTCCTATGGGAAACCGTGCATCGCAAGACGAAAAAACCGCAAGACGAAGAGACTTGCGGAACGAATTAATTTCGTCTTGCGAGGCACCACTGTACTATAATGCCCTCTTATTAAAGATGCCATACAGGTTATTTACACGCTGCCCTCCCCCCAACTACTATGACACAATAACCTTCAAATGTTCATGGTGGAAACTCCTGCAGTGAACAGGGTTCCAAGTGCTCTTGTCTCTTACAACCCAGCAGCCAGCAGAGTGCAAACAGGTGTCCCATGTTATATACCAGTCTTCCTCCCCCCAAAAGCTCAACAACTTTGATCAATCCAATGGGTAGATCACTGCCAGTGTTTTTAGAGTGGGATTAGATCACAGACTCTTGGGAGTTGGACATCGCTGTTATAGACCAACCACCAGAAGAGTGGCGTGAGTAAGATGCACAAAGAAAAAGCTGCTTTTAAAATGAATTTGTCAGATGTTTTTGAGCCCTTAAACATAGGAACTGAACTTTCTCCCTGTCAACATACTTTGGTTTCAAGTTCGTTGAGATCAGACTGGCCCATTGCTGGCTCTGCAACTACTTTCTGCAAGAAGTACAGCGACTGTTTCTTTATTTCCAGTTCTCTAGGAAATTTTTCAGAGACCAAATATGTATTGAACTTTGTCTCCTCTTCCAGTCTCTTCATTAAGCCTGGAAAACCAAAACAAACAATATCAACACATACCTAAATGAAGTAATGAGAAGTTCAGTTTGGTCTCATGCTGTAATAGCTGTAATCTAAGCAAAACTATTTAACAGTCAAATACATTTATTTCTGTACCAACAAACAAGCAGGGGCATAGTGGGAGGAAGGGGTGCCATAGCCCCAGGCGCACAATTTTTAGGGGGCGCGAGCTAGGTGCCCCCATGCAAGGATGCCCATCCCATCCTGCCTGACACTGGGGGTCTCTGGGTCTCAGCCTGGCCTGGCTGCAGGGCCCCTGGCCCTCTGGCTAGCGTCAGGGGGGATTTGCCCAACAAGTGCTACATTGGCCAGCCGGGCTCCTCCCTGCATGGGCAGGCAGGAGAACAACACAGCCCTGCTTGGCTCCAGTGGCCAGGGCTGAGCTGATGTGTGGGCTCCATGAGCCCTTTGCAACCCCTGTGCATGCACTTGGCAGCACTGTCTGGCCTGGAGCAGCAGGTTCTATTGACCCTCTGTGCTCTGCCCCTGCCCAGCACACACACATGTCCCAGGCAACAGAAAAGGATGCAACACTGCTGCAAACAAGGAGTCTCCAGAGCTGCAATTTACACTGTCTATGGATGAAAACACAACCTAGTAGCATATAACTTAGTAAGCTATACAAATCCTCTCTTCCAGGCAGGCCTGAATTCTTGCTACCTTGTGATTTGGTTATGAATTTCTTAATATTTGCAGGGGTGGTATGAAGGGTTATATTTTAGGTTTTAACAGTAGGTCACTCCTTCTCATTGTATAGTTGAGAAATGCTGTAATAAATTAATCAAGTACGTCACACCAACTCAAAATTCAGAAGAAAAAGACTATCATGAGAATGTCCAAGATTTTACGGTGTATACATCAGTCACATAGGTCCTCTCTATGTGTAAACCACTATGCAAAGGCTAAGCTGAATGTATGAAATGCAGATGGGGTGGAGCAGGCATGTCACAGGGAAAAGGTTGGAGCAATCCTACCAGGAATCTATTCAGAACAGGGCTACCATGTTCAGGTTCACTGACAATACTGAGTATAGGTATGGTCCTCAAGGCACAGTGCTGTTGTGAACCCTCAATACCATCTGGCATGGGGCTGGGAGTGACAGATGAGGAAGGCAAGCAGGAGGAGGGTGCTGTCTGCAGGGAACAGCCTAAGAGGGCTCCCATTCCTTTGCCTTCAGAGCTGGGGAAACAGAGGCAGTCCTGTTGGCTCCCTGTCTTGTCCCATCCACACAGTGGGATGGTTCCCTTGCAGCATGGGAGGACTAGCAAGGGAGGGAAGCTGAGCAGCAGCAGCAGCAGCCGCCAGAGAGACTGACCTCTGTCCCATCACCAGGAACTTGGAGCTACCTTCATTGTTGGAAATAGACCCATGCCCCTCACAAAAGCACTTGCTTCCAAGTGCCCCCACTCTCATAGGGAGAATCTCGTGAGTGCACCACCTCTCAGCTCTAAAAGCTGGTGGAGGGCCATGGCTGCTTGTCCATTCTTGGACTCCTGCTGCTCTTCTCGAACTCCCTAACCACATATGTACCTGTAACCTGACCTGTATCATTGTAAGCCCTTGAATAAAGCTTTCTTACTTGCACATAACAGCCTCTGTCATAGCATTTGAGATGGGAGCCCTGACAACTGACAACTCAAGTTCCTCTAACATCACCCAGGCTTGTGTGAATGGAAGATCTTGAGAATCAGGCTACAAATTGGGCTGTCACATACAGACTCTCATGCGAAAGTTCATTAAATTGAAATTGGTGTCATTCCTGGGAATACTATACTCAGATAGCTCAATGTACAATCTCCCTCGTTCATGCTCTAATCTTAAGCTTATTGGATGCCTAAGTTCTGGAATATCCAATTGGTATTCTCTTCTATGTTAGGAATATTCTAAATGTGCAAAGATGACTCTCAGTTTGAGCACAGACTGTTCTCTGCTTCTAAAAACAGACATGATATTGTTTTGATGATGCTGGTCGGACCACATGGGAGTTTTGGTAAACTGAAGGGCAGCACAGAAATATTTTAAACTAGCAGCTGTGTACCCAGGATTGTTCAGGAATGTTAAGAACCCCCAACATCAGTCCATTTTTGAAGGTTCAGACTGCCATCTTGAATTCAAAATGGCATCCAATTGTATCCAAACATAGAAAAGAAAACCCTACTCCTTGATCTCAGGAACAAGCAGGCGAAATTTGGTTACAATATCTTAAGAGGTGTCCAAATGCATAGAGAACAAACAACTTTCCAAAATATATTTTGAGCAATAATTATAAAAGGAGCTTGCCTTAAAGCAGTGGTCTTTTGCAAATTTCCTGTTTTAAAGCTGGTTAAAGCTGTGCTTTTCACAGGCAGGGGGAAAGTGTTAACTTGCCAAGTGAAAACACACACACACACACACACACACACACAGCATTCTCTTTTGTGGCATTAAGTTTATGGAATATGCTTCCAAGTGATGTTTGCTTAGCTCAATCTTTTCCAGCAAGCAAAGGACATCAATTTTTTTTAGCATTCCTTTTGATAGCTGTTGGTGGATTAATTGTAACTCCTGGTCCTTGTTTTAAATATTGTTCCCTTTTATGCTGAATTGGGTCATAGCTGCTGTGTTTTAACCTTTCAGTATTTTAATGACGATACGATTTCAAATAGAAAAGTGAATATAAACATTACAGGAGCCAGAATCTAGTACGAAAAGGATATTACAACTGATTTATGAGTTTGGTCGGGTGGCAGGGTTTAAATTAAATAAGCAGAAAACCAAAGTATTGGAAAAGAATCTGACACTATCAGAATCAGAAAGGTTTCAGAAGGAAACAGGTTTAAATGTGGTTAAAAAAGTGAAATACCTAGGGGTAAACATTACAGCTAAGAATTTGAGTTTATTCAAGGATAACTATGAAAAATGTTGGTCAGAAATCAAGAAGGATCTAGAAGGTTGGTCCAGACTGAAACTTTCCTTGTCGGGTCGAATTGCTGTTATAAAGATGAATGTATTGCCAAAAATGTTGTTTTTGTTTCAGACCCTACAGATTATGGACAAAATGGAGTGTTTCAGGAGGTGGCAGAGAGACATTTTGAAGTTTGTCTGGCAGGGCAAAAAGCCCAGAATTAAGTTTAAAATATTAACTGATGCTAAAGAAAGAGGGGGGTTTGCCCTGCCAGACTTAAGGTTGTATTATGAAGCAGCAGCGTTCTGCTGGCTGAAAGACTGGCTACTTCTTGAAAACACTGATGTCCTAGATTTGGAAGGTTTTAACAATGCTTTTGGATGGCATGCATATTTGTGGTATGACAAGGTTAAAAGTCATAAGGCGTTCAAGAACCATATTGTTAGGAAAGCACTATTCAATGTTTGGATAAAATACAAAGATCTACTAGAGAATAAGACCCCAAGGTGGCTGTCACCAATGGAAGCCAAGGCCCAGAAAAGACTCAATATGGAGGCCAAGTGGCCGAAATATTGGGAAATATTAGAAAAAGATGGAGACCGTTGGAAGCTGCAGAGTTTGGAAAAACTAAAAGACAAAGTGAGAGATTGGCTACATTACGCTCAGATTAAAGAGGTTTTTAATCTGGATAAAAAGATAGGATTCCAGGTGGAAAAGTCAAAGCTAGAAACAGAACTGTTAGAACCTAAAACTAAGGTTCTTTCAAAAATGTACAACTTGCTGCTAAAATGGAATACACAAGATGAAACGGTCAAAACAGCTATGATAAAATGGGCACAGGACATTGGGTATAACATTATGTTTGCTGACTGGGAAAGGTTATGGACCACCGGTGTGAAGTTCACGGCATGCAATGCCTTAAAAGAAAATATTATGAAAATGATATACAGGTGGTACATGACCCCAGTCAAGCTTGCAAAAATATACCACTTGCCTGATAACAAATGTTGGAAATGTAAAGAAACTGAAGGAACGTTTTTTCACCTCTGGTGGACTTGCCCTAAGGTCAAGGCTTTCTGGGAAATGATATATAATGAATTGAAAAAGGTATTTAAGTATACCTTCCCTAAGAAACCAGAGGCCTTGCTTTTGGGCATTGTCGGCCAGAGGGTGTTAAAGAAGGATTGTACATTTTTTATGTATGCAACAACAGCAGCAAGAATACTCATAGCTAAACACTGGAAAACTCAAGACTTGCCCACGCTGGAAGAATGGCAGATGCAACTGATAGACTATATGGAATTAGCAGAAATGACTGGCAGAATCCGCGACCTGGGGGAAGAAGCAGTGGAAGAGGATTGGAAGAAATTTAAGGACTACCTACAAAAACATTGTAAACTGTATGAATGTTAAGACGATGCAAGAGTAAGAATAAATGTGGTATCAGTAAGTTAGTTGATACAGCTTAAGAATAGATGAAATTTGAGAAAAAGTTAATATTTTGGTTAATATTATGCCTATCTAAGTATTCAAGATTTTGGAAAATAAACTTAAATTGGGAGACTTAATATGGGAAAAATATAAATAAGAAATTGAAATAAGGCTATAATTTGCTGTCTAGAATTTTATGAATTTGGAAAACAGGAGCGAAAGATGTGAGGAAGTCCAAAAGCGAGGAAAGTAAGAATCTGACTTTGATGTTATATTTTGTCTTTTTTCTTTTCTGTATGTTTTTCATTGTTTTTTCTTTTTTGTCTGTTTATTGTATGTTTAAACTTTGAATAATTTTTTTTTTAAATATAAATGTAATGAAGGTGGGGAGATGAATGAATTTTAAAAAAGGCATTTGTAACTTTCATATAAGGAAAACATGAGATATGGTTACAACAGATCTCTCCAACAGATATTAGAGTGCAGAATATATACAACATACTATTAGAAACATCTCTTTTTTTAAAAGGCTTCTAAAGTAAACGCTGATATGTCTGCTCTGGAGCAGCCTTTTTCAACCTGGTACCCTCTGGATATTTTGGGTTACAACTGGGGCTCAAGGGAGTTGTCCAAAATATCCAGAGGGTACCAGGTTGAAGAAGGTTATTCTAAAGCTTCCACTGATGCCAGAAACCAGAGACACAAGGTAAAACGTGAAAACTAACTGGTTAAGTGCACACAAAGAACCACCGATGCCTAGCCTACTTTGGATGTTTCACATAGAGTAAAATGTTCTCAAACTCTGTGGAATTAGTCACATAGGGAAAGGAATTACCTAGTTCTTTTTTTCTCTCTCTCTCATTTTGGCAGCTTAATTGAACTTTTTCTGAAACCATCGCCTTTCACAAACTCTCAAGCCAAAGGGAAAATAATAGAGAGCACTTTAGGTCTTTCCATTATCCACTTCAGAAGCTTTTTATTTTTCTAAAAAAACATTTTCTTTTAGACTCTTTATGCACGAAAGCTGTATAGTGTGCTTGGCTCAGGGCCTTAAGCTTATTTGAGTTCCATTTTTGCCAGTGACATATGTGAAAAGCTGTTAATAGTGATTCATCATGTTTTCCGTTCAATTTTTTTATGGTTATAAGAGAGGTTCCGGAAGAGTGAATTAGTGGCTTGTTCAGACATGGGGAAATAGAAAACTTACCTGACTAGACCTGACTAATCAACTTGCCCCAGCTAGAAATTTCAGTGGCTTTCCCAATACACGGGCTAAATGCATATCTTCAAAGAAAATTGCAAGCAGCAGAGCTCAAGACACACTTGTCTTCTGAGATCCAGAGTCTAGCAGTGTGCGCAAACCCTACTGCCAACAACAGCACATCACTAAGTTAGCGGTAAAGGAGTAACAACATAGCTCGGGGGGGGGGGGCAATCCAAAATGTATGAAATGCACTGAAAGGTCTTTAATTTCAAATGGAACTTAGGCAGAACTGCATGCCAGGAGGCAAAGGTGGGATTCCAGGTCTCACTAGAGGTAGAGTCAAGGCTGACAGTTGGTGGGAGATTCCTTCCCCTTTCAGCTGGCCACCACCACCTGATCTATCAGTCAGTGCCGACTATACCTCCAGGAGGAGTTGACCCTTTCCTGCATGCTACACTTCTTCAATGACCAAGAAGTAAGTTGTCTTTGCTGCCATCAACGCTATATGGTAGGGTCAATTCTGTGTTCTCACTTGTGTACAGTTGTTGATACCCTGAGACTTACACCAGGTTTTACTCCAGCTGTCCTCCTGCCTGTTTCATTGCCCAGAGCTCCCCCAGAAAAACAAGATTGCCATTTGGACTCCACAATGCCTGGCAGCAATCATTTAAGAGCAGTCATGTGTGTGGCTCGTTCTATCTCACCACTCCACTGTGAGATCAGGGCCTCGACAGCAGGCCAGTCACACTAACCAGAAACCACCTCACAGCATTCAGAAGTCAATGAGAGTTTAAAATGCTTAACTTTAGGTGGATCATAACCAACTGGTATTCAACTTAATGACAGTACATTTTTATCATCAATTACTTGCAGGAAAGACCCATTTATCTCAGCACAACTTACAGTTGAGAAACTATGCAGAGGATGGCAGGCCTCATATAAACCGAGGAGGAACAGATGGCACTCAGTACTTAACTTTTAAAATCGTACAATACGTCATCTTTCAGCTGATGTACTTGAAGTTGTTGGGTTTTGTTTTTTGTTTTTTTAAAGCTACTAATAACTCTTAATGGCAAAATGTTCTGGCAGGGCTTTAGGCTTCTCTTATTAATTGCACACTGATGTCATCAGGAGGAGTGCCTGAAAACTAGGACTTAAAGCTTTTCCTTAAAATAAACCTCTCTCTCGCTTACTATGAAACAGCAAAAATGTGATCAAAGTGGTACTGGCTAGGAATTTACATGGCATTTCAATGTGAGTGCTCAGTCAAGAGCAAACATTAGAGTGTCCTCCTCTTGCTCCTGCATAAAAAATACCACAATCCGATAGGGAAGGGGGAAAGTGAGCAGAATTAGTTGAGGATGAAAATACTAAATCTTCAACTCTCAGACAGACATTGATAAGGATAAGCAGGCAGTCTGATATAGCTGTGGTCAAAGAGGGCTTATTGATCGAAACTGAAGTCCTACCTGCAGGACCAACTAGCCTTAAACATAAATTGTATCCTGCACAATACACTCTAGCACCCACTCATTCAAAAAACCAGATGTATTCTCTTGCACTGGCCTCCCTACACCTCAAGGGCCTTGTTGGCCAGGAGAAATAGTGGGAAGTTCTGGCTCCATTACATCTTCTTCAGTGCTTCACAGTGGCTCTGCAAGGCACCACTGCATTGTATTATTACAGAATAGGGTCCTTCTGGGCATAGCTGTCAACTTTCGGATTTGAAAATAAGGGATCAGCAGCCTCGAAAATAAGGGATCAGCAGCCTCACCTGTCCTGGGCACAGTCTACGGGATATCTAACAATCCGGGATAGCAGCAGGAAGCAGCGGGAAACAGTGCTGAAATAAGGGAATTTCCCGCAAAAAAGGGGAAGGTTGACAGCTATGCTTCTGGGAGTTAAGAGAAGATAAGTATATATAGAATTCCAAAGTCTCACCATCCCTTATAATGCCAGAGATTATATCTGGTATTTTCTAGCTGCTTATTACAATTCAGTTATTTATTTTACTAGAAGTATTCCACTGCCCCTCCATCGAGAATGTTCCCAGAGCAACTTACATAAGAGCAATTAAAACAATAATAGATACAAGAAAGATACAGCCCACAAGTTAACATTTTAAAACACATGACATAAAAGGGAAAATGTATGGGGACGGAGGAGGAAAAACAAGCAATCTCATGCACCAATCCATAAAATTACAAAGTCCTTATTAATGACTGACTTAATAATAATAATAATAATAAATTTTATTTATATCCCGCCCTCCCCAGCCGAAGCCAGGCTCAGGGCGGCTAACAACAGTCAAATAGTCAAACAGTCAAATTCTAAAAACATTCTAAAAACATTTCATTATAAAAATTAATTAAAATCAAATTGTTGGCAACCGATTAGGCAAAATTCTGTGCAGGTTGCCAGAGGAGGCAGTCAGGCTGCGCCCTGACCAAAGGCCTGGTGGAACAACTCTGTCTTGCAGGCCCTGCGGAAAGATGTCAGGTCCCCCAGGGCCCTAGTCTCTTGTGACAGAGCATTCCACCAGATTGGAGCCGCCGCCGAGAAGGCCCTGGCTCTAGTTGAGGCCAGCCTAACCTCTCTGAGGCCTGGGACCTTGAGGATGTTGTTATTTGCAGACCGTAGGTTTCTCTGTGGGGCATACCAGGAGAGGCGGTCCCGTAGGTACGAGGGTCCTAGGCCGTATAGGGCTTTAAACAGAAATAGTTTGGGTAGGGGAGGCAGTTGACTCTGAGCAGAGCCAATGGAGAGGCCCCTGTTGTCCCATCCCTCCCTCTATAGCAGAGCCATCAAAGTACATGGCACTATTATGGTTTTGCCACTCTGGAAAGACAGAGACCAGAGTAAAAACAGAAAAATATGAACAGGTATAGTTACCCAACATATAACAACAACAACAACAACAACAAGTTATTATTTGTACCCCGCCCATCTGGTTGGGCCTCCCCAGCCACTCTGGGCGGCTTCCAACAAAGATTAAAAATACATTAAAATGTCACACATTAAAAACTTCCCTGAACAGGGCAACAGATATAGTTGCCCACATTTTGGCTTCATTTATAAAGTGAGGATCAAAAGGTTAGTATAAAATTATTAACAGCAGCAATGAAAAGCTCATCAGTCATGAATATAGTCATGTTCAGATCTTATCTGCAATATTCAGATCTTCAAAAATCTGTACACTTACATCAAGCCAAACCTTTTATATGAAAATGTAAACTCAGGAGGGTATAAATTTTATCTTTCTTGACTTTTAAAAAGTCCATCCTAGGTTTTTGGCAGTAGACAAGGAGGGGAAAAAACATTTTAGAACTCCTACTTACTTTCTGGCTTTGAATCTACTGCTGCATGACGCATATCCTTTAGCTGGAGTTGGACTCTTTGCAGCCTCTGCTCTGCATGAAAAAGCTTAGAAAATATGCACAGGTCTATTAATAAACTTAATCTTTGGAAACGTACACAAAAATACACAATAACATTTTGCAAAAAGGGAGGAAACATCTATGCAAACCCTACTGAATAGGCTGGGAATGCACACAATATACCCCTTCCCTCAGCCTTTAAAAGGAAGTAATTAGAAAGCATTATGATGGCAGATCTGGCAAGACAGTGCTACAACCAGCTGTACCATTGAGCAGGAATTGCTTGGTGGGCCTGGTAAACCTTTGGCCCACATTGGCCAAGAATGCAGCTAGAAATGTCTATTGGGAAGGTCAACAGATGACCACACCACCATCAGATGAATGTATCACGTTCCAATTATCACGGCACCAAAGAGTTAAATTTTGAAGACCATTTTAGAAACTTGTCCATCTAGCCCAGCACCCTGTTTTCAAACTATGCCCAGCTAGATACCTCTGGAAGTTCACAAGCAGTGACATCAAAGCAATAATCTTCCCTGATTTTTGTCCCCAGCATCTGGTATCCAGAAGCATACATGGATTTACAGCCATGACACCCCCAATTTCTCCATAATCTAAATAGAAATTCATACCAAGACTAGATTTTAAACTTCTGTAAACGAGGAGTGTCATCATCCAATGACAATATTGGCATTTTTTTAAAAAGCCAAATGCAATTTTATTTACAAGAATTAGTTAGGTTTTATTTTATTGGGGAAAAAACACCCTTAATTTAAGTGGCATGCTTTTGCACAGATACCTGATTTTTCTGTTCTTGCTTCTGCTGGGAGAGAGATTCCTCCCTCTCCTTCTCCACCCGAAGCTGCCTTGCCATTTCAAGCATCCGCTGATGATTCTGCACTGTCTCCACCTACGGTAAACGGATAAGCAAAGCAAGTTAACTGCTACATAGCTGAGAAATCAATTAGGGTGATCAGGTGTCTCACAGATTCACACCACACTTCCTCCCCATACGCAACACTTCTTGGAGCTCACACTGAAGTGTTGGACTCAAGGCCTTTAAAAGTCTTGGACTGCTGCCTGAGGGGAAGATTCTCTTTCCTCCCTTAGCCATTTGATTCCTTCCCAAGGCGTGCAACATGTTAGTCTTAATCCTTGTTTGCATTCCCCAGTCCAACTTGCAAGCCAAGGATGATGACATCCAAATGCCACAGCTTTGCTTCTCTCACTTACCCGCTTCTTAAGACGCTCTACTCTCTTCATCAGCTGATCCTTCTCCTCTTCCATAGCAGTGATATCCTAGAAAGCGTCAACACAGAAAAAATATGACACACACACCAGAATCAGTTATTTTTCTACACACCTGGAACTAAGAGAAGACTCTATCATAATATTCATGTAACTGAATCACTTATGCTCAGGATTTTAATTACATTACCTCTTAGTTTTGTACAGGTTAATCAAAGTCAAATCAACATATTCAAAGAGGTACTCTTCAGATCCTATAGAATTTGTTAGTGCTTCAAAGAAGAAAAAAGATCAAACTGCCTCAAGTCATTCAACACATAGAATCTCAATACCCTTAAAAAAAAAGCAATGTATTTTGGGGCAGATAAAGTAACAAAGTTAGAAGTGGGCAGATGGGCTAGAAATAAAATTTGCTTTGAACATAAGTTGACTATGTCCCTTTGGATGCTTTTTTGGTTAGCTACATTTTATTTATTAATCAATGTACAGTGGTGCCCCGCAAGACGAAAAACTCGCTAGACAAAAGGGTTTTCCGTTTTTTGAGTCGTTCCGCAAGACGAATTTCCCTATGGGCTTGCTTCGCAAGACGAAACGTCTTGCGAGTTCTTGCGAGTTTGTTTCCTTTTTCTTAAAGCTGCTAAGCCGTTAATAGCCGCTAAGCCGCTAATAGCCGTGCTTCGCAAGACGAAAAAACCGCAAGACGAAGAGACTTGCGGAACGGATTAATTTCGTCTTGCAAGGCACCACTGTATATAAAGGTAAAGGTACCCCTGCCCGTACGGGCCAGTCTTGACAGACTCTAGGGTTGTCTAGGCCCATCTCACTTAAGAGGCCGGGGGCCAGCGCTGTCTGGAGACACTTCCGGGTCACGTGGCCAGCGTGACAAAGCTGCATCTGGCGAGCCAGCGCAGCACACGGAAACGCCTTTACCTTCCCGCTAGTAAGCGGTCCCTATTTATCTACTTGCACCCGGGAGTGCTTTGGAACTGCTAGGTTGGCAGGCGCTGGGACCGAGCAACGGGAGCGCACCCCGCCGCGGGGATGCGAACCGCCGACCTTTCGATCGGCAAGCCCTAGGCGCTGAGACTTTTACCCACAGCGCCACCCGCGTCCCTCATCAATGTATATATTGCCTTTCAAATGATGTTTTTCAAGAGCATTTACAGGGGGTTAGATGAGGCTAGGTTAGCAGTGTCAGTGAAAAGTAGTTGAACCTCTTGAATGAGCTACCTGTGACAGGGAAGACTTAAGAAATGTTCTTAGTAGTAAGCCCTAATGGGAGAAAGACAAGTGACAACTGCTGTATCAGTTATATTTTACTGAGTCTCACTCTTATTACCTGCTTTGAGAGACAGCCACAAAATAGTCAAGAAGAAGAAAAAATCAGTCACCCTCTTCTGCAGGCAGCAACTTTTGGAGACATACTTGTAAGGCTAAATTATGCATTTATTTTATTTAGAAAATGTATAATAGGCCATTTAATCAAAATAATTGCCAATAATACCCAGATAAAATAAACAAAATTCAAAAACAAAGGCTAAGTGTCTGGATAGGCTTTTGAAACAAAAAAAGTTTTCATCAGGTGTTTAAATAATATAGTGAGTGTGTCTGCCTAATGGTAACAAACAGGGTGCCATGCTAAAAGATCAGGGTGCCATGCTAAAAGATCAATACAATCAATTTAATCAAAATAGTGGCTGCTACAATAGTTGATCTAAAAATCAAAAGCGCAGCTAAAAATATACAGTATCTGCAATGTCTCTCTCTTTGTTACCCTTCGTATTTCTGCAGTTGAGAAACCAGATGTCTTCAGCTGTTCACATTCTTTATGAAGGTTTTTGAATGCTTCCATCAGCTCTTCATACTGCAAAAAGAGTAAACTTCTAAAACAAATGATATGACTCAGGGTTTGCCAAGCTGTTTGGACCAGTGGACACATATTCAGTTCTGAGAGAATACTAGGGAGAACATGGCATAACACAAACCTAGAGGGACAACTGCTCTGAACAACAGAAGTCCGCTATGTCCTGATTGTGGAAATCACACAATACTGATTATACAAACATACTCTCTGATAATCTTGCTGTCTAATAACAACAGGGAGCATTCCTCAGTACCAGGAAAAACACACAAGGTGACCACATCACACGCTCATTCACAGATATCTCCTAGAAGGTAACTGCACATTTTGCCCCATAAAATTCTTTCTAGGAAGACTAGGATTGATGTTAACAGTGCAGTGTCAAAAGTTCATTTAAACATAACAGGAGTTGCTAACCCAGGGCCTGCTAAGGTTTTCATTGGTGCCCCTGGGCAGATTCCCTAGACTGAGCTTTTATTGAAAAAATGAAATAAGGTACATTCACATGATCAAAACTGTGAGCAAAGGGTCCTTCCTCTAACTTCAGGTGAGCAGACCAGTGGGCAGGTCATAACCATCAGAATTAATGTAGCTTAATTCTGGGCCCAGAAACTGTGTGTAAGCCATGTTTGTTCTGTATGTAAGAAACTCTAGCAGAAAATGAAGACACACACACACACACACACACACACACACAATATTTGTAATGATATGTAGCTTAAATAATTTATCTCAGGTCATACCATATATATTACACAAATAAATAACCAAATATTATCAGCAAAATCTCTTCATTTTTAGCAGCGTTTAAAAAAATCTCACGTATTGTTTTAAGTGTGGTGTATTATTATAGTTTCTATTTTGGAGAAGCCAGGGGATTATTGGAAACATTTTACATAATGGAAACTGTGGAGCTGTATCTTTATACAAATTAGGAGTGGCACACACTGAATAAATATACAAGCTGCATTCCCTGCTCTAAAGGCAGTGTTTGCTTAGTTTTAATTATACAATTGGATATTATCAATGGGGGAAAATGTTTGCTTTAACTTCCATGCAAGGCAAGAGCAATTTTTCCTGCTTTACCTGGTATGCGCACACACTTGAGGAAACACCAAAGCCATGCACTATTTCTGCTGCCATTTTCCAAACTTTCTACCCAGAAACACACTATATAGGTGAAGCTTCAGTGATCTGGGGACAACCAAAGCTCACTGACCCCTCTTGAGAGCAGCAAATGCATCAGGTAGCATTTGGGGATGGAAGGCAGCATCCCTTGAGGGAGGCTTACTAGTTGCTCTCTCATCCAAGCAGATGCCTCTGAGCACTTGATAATTAAACAATTCCAGATTATATACAGGTTATCCTGGCTTTCTGTATTTGACCAGCCTTAAAGGCTTTCATTAATATGCTTTTTGCATGATTCTCCCAGTGCATATAAGGTTTATACCCATTGAAGGAAACCTGCCACGGTTTTAACCAACATTATTACAGAAATACAATCTGGATAAGAAATGTGTTGCAAATGCTACCTGTCTATTGGTATCTGACACAACATCATCTTGAAGGAACTCTGCTGGTACATCTACTTTGATTAGGAACCGTGCAAGATAGGCTCTTTTCTTCAGCTCATTTGTCCGTTGAAGCAGCCAGTGCAAGACAGGATGAATGACAGGCTTACTTCCAATGACTAAACCCTGGCGGAACGTACTCCTGAATAATAACAATAACAGTGACATCAAGCTCTACTGAGAGAAAAGAAGTCTGAAGCAAACATAAGCAGCAGCCCCCCACCCCACCCTTGAGTGCTTAGTAGAAGATGAAGAATTAATACTAAACATTTACTTGGCTCTTTTTATAATGTTCAAAGCATTTTACAACCTGCAAATATAGGCAAATAAAAAACAGCAACAGCACTGGAAACAAAAGAATCCTGCCCCCCCCAAAAGATAAACCACATTAAAAAGTAGCAGCATCAATGTGATAATATTCCACAGCTGCAACCGAAAGGCAAAAATTGACCAAGGAGGTTGCTCCACAGTCTTGTCACCATAACCCAAAAGACCCTGAGTCATATGCTCACCTATCTTGCCTAAGTGATTGGGGAGGGGGATATAAAACAGTTCCTCATTTGTTTACCTAAGAAAGCAGGTGGGTACTTCAGGTATTCTGCCCCCCAATCATTTAAGACTTCAGAAGGTCAAAACAAGCATTTGGAGGACAGTGCTTGCCTCTGTGGGCCTTTTACATGGCTGATGTCACTTCTCCCCAGCCCCTCATCTCGACTGGAGCTTTTGAACCCAGCTGTGAATGGACGTGGGTACCACGTCACTTCCAGACCAGCTGTGTTTACTTTTGCCAGGCATGCAACAGAGTCACCAGAGCGCTGTGGCTCCTGACATTCAATTTAAAGATTGTGTTTGTGAGAGATAAGCTGAAAGACAGTGGTTTCCCTACAGCCATTGAGTACCCTGCATAGTCAAGGGACAGTGTAGATCACAGATCTTTCTCTTAACTGAATCATTCCCAAGCTGTGAGGGAACAAAAAACGGCCCAAGTCCCAAGTACACCAGAAGGCAGAATGTGATCATCTGCTAGATCTCAGAGCAATTTGCAACAGATTGGGAGTCAGAAACTCATGCCAATAATTTAACAAAGCAGCGCAAAATGACTCACCCCACTGCCCTAAATTATATTGCTTGAATTAAGAAAGCTTGGGATAGCCAGAAGTGTGCTTTTGTGTGAAAGGAGCATGAACTCAGTTCTGGTACTGAAAACATGTTCCTAAGCTCAGAATGTGCTCAGAAGAAGCCAGTTCTTCAGTACTAACTGTGAATCTTTCCCACCTGACTCTAGTAGTTGCTAGATCTTAGGCTTCCAGTAAAAGACAAAATAGATCCAACAAGCCTGAACTCTAGTCATCCTTGAAATACATGCCCATGGTTGTGGCTGCCTACTGTGTCTCTGCATGAGTCACTGCTCTGGATAATTCAATCACTGTGAGAGCAAAGATGCAATAGAATTTTCTGCCTTTAAAGCAGGCTGATGCCTCTCTGCACAAGTTGCTGCTCTGGGCTGGTCTCCTTCCATTACAGAGTCATGCTAAAGCAGTGACTCAGCAGACACACAGAAGTGTGGCCTTTCTCTATGAGAGCACATAGGAAGCTATCTTACATTAGGCCCTGTTATTCATCCACCTTGCCCAGTACTGTCTATTCTAACAGGCAGAAACAGTGAGAAGAATTGAAACTGAAATTGAAATACTTTATTGTCACTTGCACAACTTGTATACAGTGAGATTACACGAGCACACCCCCCCACTCAGCTCTCTTAGTCTTAATTCCCCTAGTTTACTGACGCACACCCACCAAACCCGAAAGTCAGTTGTCCTGTTGTTATCTTTTCATTCAGCAGCCTAACAGCCCACAGATAGAAGCTGTTCTTTACCCTGTTGGTGTGACTAATCATGCTTCTATACCTTCTGCCTGAGGGCAGGAGATCAAGAAAGTGCCGGCCAGGGTGTGAATCATCCCTGAGAATTTTCCTCATGCTACCTGATGATACCAGGAGCTGAACCTAAGGTCTTCTGCATGCAACTAACGTGCTCCAGCACTGTTAACAGGTATAAGTGTTTAGGGTATCCCTGTTTTTAATTCAGAAAAGGAGTGTGCCTCATTAATCAGAAATTTGAGAAATTATGCCTGACTGCAATCCTAAAACACATTTGTTTGTTTGTTTGTTCAAATCAATTTATATACAGTCGTACATTGGTTCGCCTTGCGACTCAAATGTTTTGGCTTCCGAATGCCTCAAACCCAGAAGTGAGTGTTCCAGTTTGCGAAAGTTCTTTGGAACCCGAACGTCCAACGTGGTTTCCAAGGCTTCCGCTTGAGTGCAGGAAGTTCCTGCAGCCAATCGGAAGCCGCACCTTGGTTTACAAACGTTTTCGGAAGTCAAACGGACTTCCGGAACGGATTCCGTTTGAGAAACTAGGTACGACTGTACTACTATTTATTTGGAATCACAAAGTAGTTCACATTTAAAATATACAACAAACCAAAAGTATATAACATGAAACGCAAAGTATATAACAGCAAAATAAAACCATAAAATCACTGAAAACCTTACAACAGCAGGAAGTTAAAATTTCCGTAGACTGTACTTATGAGATCAAATCCAGCTAAACAATCCTCAAGCAAAAAAAAAATCTCATTCAAGAATTGGAGAAACTGAAGCAATTATGAAGACTTAGGAACCTTCCAGAGAAAGGGTGAGAGGACACCTTTACAAGGTCACTGTTCCTTGGGCTGGGATGTGGGTGGCACCACCAAGCCTCGTTGGCTTGCCAATCTTAAGGTTGGCAGTTTGAATCTGTACAACGGGGTGAGCTCCCTTTGCTCTGTCCCAGCTCCTGGCAACCTAGCATACCAGTGTGAGTAGATGTATAGGTACCGCTGTGGCAGGAAGGTAAATAGCGTTTCCATGCGTTCTGGCACTTGTCATGGTGTTCTGTGCACCAGAAGTGGTTTAGTCATACTGGCCACAGGACCTACAAAGCAAACTTTGCGAAGATGAACACTGTACCACATAGTCGAATTCGACTGGACCGTCCAGGGGTCCTTTACCCTGTTCCTTGGGCATTGTCCATCAACATAAGAGGTGCTCTGTCAAGTACACGGGCCCTGAGCCATTAGCGTTTTATAAGTCAATGACAAGACCTTAAACTGGGCCCAGGAGTTTAGCCAGGGCAGAACAAAACTCTGAATTGGCATATCACTCTGCAACCAAGTAGCAGCATTCTGCAGTAACTGTAAGTTCCAAACTATCTTCAATGCAAGCTCTTGGAAGCATGCACCACTGACCATCGCAAGACTTAATTCAGAGTAAAATGCTTAGACGTGGGCTTCTAACCTACTATAGTACTGCTCCTTTACCTTTACCTTTAGTACTGCTCAAAAAAAATCTGCAATTACACAACAGTGTAAGAACAAACCTCCACAAATTTTCTTAACCAGAACGATAAACTTTTTAGTTTATAGATTTCAAAATTTGCAGAATTTCAAATTTTATTAAACCGTGAAAAGGAAAGAAGAATACCAGGGAAGGATTCATTTATTAAATTTTATATTTTGCTCTCCAATCCATTAGCAGGGCAGCTTAAGTAAAAATAAAACACACACACACACAAACTAGAAAGAGCAATTTCATAAAAGCAGCATAAAAATAAAATGGATAATAAGGAAAGAGGTGCATAAGAATGTGTAGTAAAAAGTAAGTATTATGGGTTGGTCTGCGGCCTGTTCAGGGAAACTGCAGGCCACTTGAGGTCAAGCCTTTCCAACTCCGGCCTCTTCTAGGCTCCTATTAATTTGGCCCAGCTTGCTTCTGACCCTATCCCAAGTCCATTTCTGCCTTGATTACTTCTCCCATCTTAGTCCATTCCACACAAAATCACACACACATCACCTCAGCCACCACCCACCTTCTCTGAAAAATCTACATTTCCTGCAAAGCAGCTTTGTTTCTGTGCTGCCAGTGTTTAGTCCTTACTGCTCCCTTCTCAAAGCCCTATCCTCCTCTATCACCTTTGCCTGTCATGGGACACAGACAATCAAGCTCTGAGCGGCAGCCACCAAATTGTAATCTAAATGCATCATAGTCGCATCCATGAGTGTTGGGAACTGCTTTTTTGTATCAAACAGCCACACCATGAATGAGTCTGATATTATAGTTCCCCTGGAATCATACAAATGTGAAGAGAAGGCCTCTGCACCAGATCCATCATCTGACTGGCTGCCAAAGGCAAGCCGTTTGTCCCACACATAGATGTAAGCTGGCATTTAGTAAGATTATACTAGGGAGCACTATATTTTCCTTGCTCATTTGAATCTGCATTTTCTATTTTAGAATGTAAACCTACAGGATAGGGGACCTGACACACAATAAACATTAATGCAATAGCACCCTCTAGTGCCCAGTATCAGGAAAAGACACTACTGAATAAACAAGGAATACAGCAACAAAGAGCAAGTTACAACATATCACAAATATTTGAAAGGCAACTAGACATATTTTCTCATAGATGTGTATAAGCTTGCAGCCTCTGGAAGGTTAACAGAAAGCACACCTTCAGGGACTCCACATTCAGTGTGGACTATTCTAAATTCAACTTTATACCTAACTTTTAAGCAATTGACAGTACTCCCTGAAACACATTCACTCTTAAAGTGGAGATGTCTCAAGGATTGGATGATAAGAAATACATTTAGTACAAATAGGCAACCAAGTCAGAGCTATAAGGCATGACATCTAGGTTAACAATAGGATGCTCCTGTAAGTGACAAGATGAACTGATTGTATGTTAATTCTATGTCTTTTTACAGGTTCAGATAGCTTCAACAGTGGCTGTACTGTACAACTATCAACAGGACATAAATACTTACAAGTCACTGGTGCCTCCTGGAGGTTTATATTTAAGAATGCCAAGAAGGCTCAACATCCGTTTAGCCGTCTGCTCTGGAAGCTCTTCTCTAATGTCAACAACTTGCTGAAAATTTTTAAAATAACCAAGGCATAATAAACAAGACAAGCTTCATTTCACAAGTAAAGCAAAGAAGAATGGATTTTAATTAACGATTAGTGAACTGTTGAAACTCCTAAGTGAGGTGTTGCACATATAACTAGGCAGGTTTCATCCAGGCCACTATCATCTTCCATGCCATGAACCTTTGCAACTCAATTCCCCCTCCCCAAGTTTCAGGCAGGCAGGCTGGCTCTGACCTTTTCATTTTTTATGTGCCCAGAGTGCTTATCCATTAATTTGTGGCTGCATACATTTTTAAAAGGTAAGCATTTCAATGCAATGTTGTTCTGGAAGTTATTGGGGGATCGTGGTGATATCATGGGGGACTGGTCAGTCACGCCTAGAAACAGAAGGCAGGTCAAATCAGAGCGCCATATCCAGCAACAAGATGTAGTGGTGGCCACCAACCTGGATGGCTCTTCAAGGGGATTAGACAAATTCATGGAGGATATAATGATACCTATATTAAGCTATAATGATACCTATATTACTTCTAGTATCAGAGGTGGTGTGCCTCCAAGCATCAGTTGCAGGAGAACACAAGAGAGAAACAGCTAGTGTACCCAAGTTCTGTTTGGGTGCTTTCTATAGGAATCTGTTTGCCACTAAGAGAAAAGAATGCTGGAATAAACATGCCATTGGCAATCAAATCTGTTTAATAAGCCGAAACAGGAAAAGTGCCCCTTTGCTCTTCCCTTCTTGGTGTGCTACAGTAAGCCAGGAAGTCTTCAGTTAACTGTAGTTTCCCATTCTTGGAAACTATGATTAGCAATTTCAGAATAGGTCATGATCTTAAACCACAGTCTGAAGTTGGTTTAAGCTCCTGGTTTGTTCTGAATCTGGGGTAGTATACAACCAAGTTTACTCTTGGTTGAGTAAACCCATTGAAATTAATGAAGATGACTAAGTTAGGTCCAAAAACTTAGTGCCACCCATTGCACTGGCGAGAGAATTAGCAGCTGCAGATAGTTTGCTACCCCATCCTTGGGAGAAAGAACGCTCAGCATCGCCAGTTGCCTTGGAATTGCAGAGCCAATGGGAAATACACTTTGTCTGGCCCCTTCCACCAGCCTGGCAACTTAAGATACATGTATTATTATAATTTACTGAAAGCCACCTTGAGGATCGTTAGATATAAAGACGGGATATAAACCTTTGAGACAAATTAATAATCAGCAAGTTTCTTGACACCTGTAGTTCAACATCTTAATTCTCCATCCTTACCTTTGGGTCAATCTCTCCCAGAACATCATTTAGCAGCTGTAACAGCTGCATTGACTCCAATGAGTCAAATGTGATTAAATTGAAGTTCTTCTTAAAGGGCTCCTTGTTGAGCTTCTCAACAATAAATTTTAGCTGGTCACTCATAGTGGCACTCTTGTAGCTATCTGCAGAAGAGACGAAGCAGCCTCATGAAACTTGCATTTAAAAAAATCACTGTAAAAACATTTTTAAAAAATTAAAACCTCAGACGGGTGGTTGTGGGGGTGTTGCATTCCGCTTCTGTTGTAGGTCTGACAGATGAAATATTTGGTGTTGCAGCAGCCTACCTCTAGAGAGAAAGATGAACAAAAAACTGCCCTGCTGCAAATGCAATTAAAAAAACACCTTCTTCCCACTTTTAGCACTCCTGGCCCGGAGACTCTTCCCCACACCAAACCCCCTTCTCTGGAGGGCCTGCCCCTCACATTCTGGCTGGGATGTGCCCATGAACACTGGTGAAGCCACTTCACCACTTCTATTCGAGAGTGGTGCACACACATGGAAATCAGCCTACTATACCAAGGGGAAATTCACATTCACGTTGCAGGGAGTCCCCTTCACCCACCCACGGGGGAAAGGCCCAACTCTGCTGCAGCCTGTTTGTTATGCAGACCTTTCTTCCTCTCCCTTTCTTGTCAGAGTGTTGGCTGCAAGCTCCGTCTCTCCACGTTTGCTTCTACTGAGCTTTCAAAAGGGAGTCAAACGGTAACAGATCCCATCTCCCGGGGGCCCTCCTACTCCCAGAGGCAGGACCCGCGCCCCCACCCCTTCCTCAAGGGGGAGATTCGCCCCGCCAGGTGCCAGAGCGATTCCCCCAAGTCACCCCTTTCCCCTAAACTGGGGCAAGCGCGGGTTGCCATGGCAACCCTTGCCTGGTTTCCTCCGGGTCCTCCGCCTTCTCCAAAGGGATTAGCCAGTCTGTCCCCACACCGCTCTTTTCTCCCACAAACACCCCCACGTTACCTCAGCCCTTCGCCCGAAACGCCCCCTCTAAATTGCCATCTCTTCCCCGCCTCTTCGTGCCGGGGCCCTTGGTAACGGTTGCTAGGGTACCGTTGCTGCCCAGGAGGAGGAGGAGGCAGTTCCGCTCACGTGACCAAAATGGCGGCAGCGTGGACGGAAAAGAACCGAGGTGCTTCGAGCGCGCCTTCGGCGGGAAGACACGCCCCCAACGCCTGGGCTGCGGCGGGAGCGGGCGACTGCGGCTGCGCGAGGCGAAGGAGGCGGGAAGCGGGAGAAAGAGATTAGCATCTCCCGGATGGGTGGCGCTCAGTCTGCGCCGCGGAGGGCGAGAGGCGGCAGCGGGGAGGGGGGGGGAGCTGCTGCGCGATAAATGCCGCCCCATAATAATAATAATAATGGGGAAGGAGCGGGGTGGGTGTTATTTATTGCTTCGAGCTATAAATCTCAAGGCGGTTTACAGCAAATGTCACAGTCAAAATAGAATTGGTAGGAACACCACTTCTACTTAGCACTTCGATAACAGTAAGGTTTGCAATGACAATAATAATAATAATAAATTCAGTTTATATACCGCCCTTTGTCAAAAGATCCCAAATAATAACAAAAACTGAAATAATAAAGGAGAGTATTTCTTTTTTTAAAATAATATTTTTTACTTTTACAACAATTTAAACACAAAAAAACAATACAGTACAATACAAAAACACTACAGTACATAACACTAAAACATTAAACTAACAAGACAAAACAGAAACAATTTTAAAACACATCAAAAATCAATATCTTATCTTTCACATATTTCAACGACCTCCTCACACCTCCCTTTTTGTATTCCACTTCTATTAATTATTTCAGCAATTCCTTTCCATCTTCCCCTGTTTTCTATCCTATAATTATCTTAACACAAACTAACCTTATTTTTTCCTTTAATGTTCTATTAATCTATTTATACTTAATTCCTTATAACCTTTCTACTAAAGCCATATAACTTCATTCCAACATTCTTCTAACATTCATTAATTTTACAATATTTCTGTAAATAGTCTTTAAACTTTTTCCAGTCTTCTTCCACCAATTCTTCTCCCTGGTCTCGGATTCTGCCAGTCATTTCCGCCAGTTCCATATAGTCCATCAACTTCATCTGCCATTCTTCCCGGGTGGGTAAATCTTGTGCCTTCCAATATTTCGCGGTAAGTATTCTTGCTGCTGCTGTTGCATACATAAAAAAAGTTCTATCCTTCTTTAATACCAATTGGCCGACCATGCCCAGGAGAAAGGCTTCTGGTTTCTTCAAGAAGGTATATTTAAATACCTTTTTTATTTCATTATAAATCATCTCCCAGAATGTCTTAATCCTTGGGCATGTCCACCAAAGATGAAAGAATGTACCTTCAGTCTCCTTACATTTCCAACATTTATTATCAGGCAAATGGTAATTTTTTTCAAGCTTGACTGGCGTCATGTACCACCTATAAATCATTTTCATTAAATTTTCTCTTAGGGCATTACATGCCGTGAATTTCATACCTGTGGTCCATAACTGTTCCCAGTCAGCCATCATTATGTTATGTCCAACATCTTGTGCCCATTTAATCATAGCTGATTTCACCGTTTCATCCTGTGTGTTCCATTTCAACAGCAAGTTATACATTCTTGACAAATTCTTGGTTTTTGGATCTAACAATTCTGTTTCCATTTTGATTTTTCCACCTGGAAACCAACTTTTTTGTCCAATTTGTATGCCTCCATTATTTGGTAATAATGGAGCCAATCTCGCACTTTGTTTTTCAATTTTTCAAAGCTCTGCAATTTTATTCTCTCTCCATCTTGTTCCAGAATTTCCCAATATTTTGGCCATTTGGCCTCCATATTGAGTTTTTTCTGTGCCTTCGCTTCCATTGGTGACAACCATCTTGGGGTTTTCTTTTCTAACAAATCCTTATATCTTATCCAAACATTAAACAATGCTTTTCTAACAATATGATTTTTAAACGCTTTATGTACTTTTACCTTATCGTACCACAAATATGCATGCCAACCAAATACATTATTGAAACCTTCTAAATCCAACACTTCAGTGTTTTCAAGAAGCAGCCATTCTCTCAGCCAGCAAAAAGCAGCTGATTCATAATAAAGTTTAAGGTCTGGCAGGGCAAATCCACCTCTTTCTTTGGCATCAGTTAGTATCTTAAATTTTATTTGAGGCTTCTTGCCCTGCCAAACAAATCTGGAAATATCCTTCTGCCACTTCTTGAAACAATCCATCTTATCCAAAATTTGCAATGTTTGAAACAAAAATAACATCCTTGGCAGCACATTCATTTTTATCACAGCAATTCGGCCTAACGATGATAATTTCAAATTTGTCCATAAATAAATTCACATTTTTAGCAGTCATGTTAACCCCTAAGTATTTCACTTTTTTGACCAATGTTACTCCTGTCTCCACCTGAAACTTCTCTCTCTCATTCACAGTTAAATTTTTCTCTAAATAAGGGAGAGTATTTCTTGCCTTAAAGGTAAAGGGACCCCTGACCATTAGGTCCAGTCGTGACCGACTCTGGGGTTGCGGTGCTCATCTCGCTTTGCTGGCCGAGGGAGCCTGCGTACAGCTTCCGGGTTCTGTGGCCAGCATGACTAAGCCGCTTCTGGCGAACCAGAGCAGCACACAGAAAGGCCGTTTACCTTCCCGCTGGAGCAGTACCTATTTATCTACTTGCACTTGATGTGCTTTCGAACTGCTAGGTTGGCAGGAATTTCTTGCCTCAGTGTGTAATTATTGCCGCTCAAGGTCCTGCCAGAGCCTTGTGCCTCCTTCCTAAAGCCCAGTGCCTTGCTTAGTTGGCTTTGGGAAGGTAGCGCGAGGAGGTGGGGGTCGTCCAGTTTGGGCCTCCACCCCCCAACAAGGCAGTATGCGGTTATATCAAGGTGCTCTTGCAGCCCACTTGGTATGGAAAGTTGAACTACCCTGCTCTAGCTCAAGTTCAGAATGGTTTGAATACGGAAATGAGAAAAATGCTGCTGCTATTGTTTTAAATAGCTTGACCGGAGGAAGGAAGGAAGGGTGAGGAGGAGAAAAGCTGTGTGTGGCTATAAACAGATCTGCGAACACTCCAGAAGTTGCAGAAGTCTTCTAATCTGCATTCATTTTGATTTGTTTTTGGTGAAGTTATACAATGATGTTTACCTGATTTGCTTGTGGGGTGTTTATTCATCTGTTAATAATGTGTTCGTCCCCCACTTTTCAATGTGTTTCCCCATTAATTTCCTAACTGCAAAAAAGTGTTTGTGTTAAGTGCATTGGTTGCCACAAGGCCACAGAGCCTTTTAATCTATTTTAATTGTGCAAACCTACACTTGAATCCCTCCCACAAAATAACAGTCTGGAGGTGATTGCGCAGCAGCTGAGTTATAGCTCATGTGACTATTTTGATTTATCTTAACTTGCTCCTTCCCTGCATGGCTTTCTTACTGTGCCTTTAAGTGGAGTGGTTTTGCTTTGTGAGTGTGTGGGTGGCCAGAAACACCAGCGGCAGTGCTGTCTGTGAGAGGGTGCAGTTTGTAAGAGGCTTTTTTTGTTCCTCCGCCATGGCCGGGTGCTGCAGCTTGAAGAATGTGTGTGAATATGAAACTAACAAGGTTGTGCGCATTCAGAGTGTCTACTACGGGAGCCTCAAGTGGGCCATCCATTCTGTCGTCTTCATGTATGTCTGGTAAGTGGAACAGGAAAAGTTCAGATACGGCAGCAGGGAAAACAAACAGGGAAAGTTGGAAGCCTTGGAAAGAGCTCTCCAGTGAAATCCATGGGATTTACATCTCTAGCTGTTGATAAGGAAGGCTGGGGTTGAATTGTGCAAATTGCTCTGTCTACTTGGATCAGTTAAACTATATCCAAGAGTTGTTTAAGTAGTTCCATCTATTGTCTGAAAGTTAGTAAAGCTGGTAAAAATGTTAGTGACAGTTCATAAGATACTGCTTTAACAAAAGCATGTTAAATGTATAAATTTAATCAATATTAATTGTCAGTGATACCACATTCCCCACCCTGCACTCAAATCTCACCTGTGACTCCTTGTAGCTGTCAACAGGCAAAGGTGGTCACTATTCGTTTTAGATACAGATGCCGGTGCTTATGATATGAGGGCTGAACTGTCACAGGAATGTGCAGGACAAGAGAAGCCTGTTGCTTATTTCAGTTGTTGTTTAGTCGTTCAGTCGTGTCCGACTAGAGAGCCAGTGTGGTGTAGTGGTTAAGAGCGGTAGTCACGTAATCTGGGGAACCGGGTTCGCGTCTCCGCTCCTCCACCTGCAGCTGCTGGGTGACCTTGGGCCAGTCACACTTCTTTGAAGTCTCTCAGCCCCACTCACCTCACAGAGTGTTTATTGTGGGGGAGGAAGGGAAAGGAGATTGTTAGCCGCTTTGAGACTCCTGAAGGGGAGTGAAAGGCGGGATATCAAATCCAAACTCTTCTTCTTCTTCTTCTTCTTCTTCTTCTTCTTCGTGACCCCCTGGACCAGAGCACGCCAGGCACCCCTGTCTTCCACTGCCTCCCGCAGTTTGGTCAGACTCATGCTGGTAGCTTCGAAGACACTATCCAACCATCTCGTCCTCTGTCGTCCCCTTCTCCTTGTGCCCTCCATCTTTCCCAACATCAGGGTCTTTTCCAGGGAGTCTTCTCTTCTCATGAGGTAGCCAAAGTATTGGAGCCTCAGCTTCACGATCTGTCCTTCCAGTGAGCCCTCAGGGTTGATTTCCTTCAGAATGGAGAGGTTTGATCTTCTTGCAGTCCATGGGACTCTCAAGAGTCTCCTCCAGCACCAGAATTCAAAAGCATCAATTCTTCGGCGATCAGCCTTCTTTATGGTCCAGCTCTCACTTCCATACATCACTACTGGGAAAACCATAGCTTTTACTATACGGACCTTTGTTGGCAAGGTGATGCCTCTACTTTTTAAGATGCTGTCTAGGCTTGTCATTGCTTTCCTCCCAAGAAGCAGGCATCTCTTAATTTCGTGGCTGCTGTCACCATCTGCAGTGATCATGGAGCCCAAGAAAGTAACATCTCTCACTGCCTCCATTTCTTCCCCTTCTATTTGCCAGGAGGTGATGGGACCAGTGGCCATGATCTTCGTTTTTTTGATGTTGAGCTTCAGACCATATTTTGCACTCTCCTCTTTCACCCTCAATAAAAGGTTCTTTAATTCCTCCTCACTTTCTGCCATCAAGGTTGTGTCATCTGCACATCTGAGGTTGTTGATATGTCTTCTGGCAATCTTAATTCCAGCTTGGGATTCATCCAGCCCAGCCTTTCGCATGATGAATTCTGCATATAAGTTAAATAAACAGGGAGACAATATACAGCCTTGTCGTACTCCATTCCCAATATTGAACCAATCAGTTGTTCCATATCCAGTTCTAACTGTAGCTTCTTGACCCACATAGAGATTTCTCAGGAGACAGATGAGGTGATCAGGCACTCCCATTTCTTTAAGAACTTGTCATAGTTTGCTGTGGTCGACACAGTCAAAGGCTTTTGCATAGTCAATTTCAGCAAGTAAGCATAGCTTATTTCAGTAAGAGCCTGAATACCGTAGAGATAAACTTCTGCACTACTAGGAAAGAACTCCTGGCAGTTGTAAAGTTCATAGGGCGTTTTCATTATCTGTATGGTAGGAAATTTGTGGTGAGGACTGACCATTCTCCTTTACAATGGCTATTTTGGTTCAAAAACCCGGGGCCTCGTACAGGGAACAGCTTTGATTGGCTGGCTAAACCAGGTGAGGGTAGCCAATGGGTCTCAAACCCTTGGTGAATGAGGGACTTCGCCTGCATGCAAAGACAGGCTCTGGCGGATGGAGCAGATACATGTGCCGTTTCTGCACATGCTGTAGAGGGAAGTGAGGGGCAGATGGGGCTTGTCCACCTGGGAAGGAGCCCATCTAGGAGAAGGAAACTCCTAGGCCTCTGCTGCCTTTTGGGACATCTTCGGGGGATGAAAAGGCTCAGGAGTAAATGCTACACAAATCCAGAGTGTCAAGCTTTATTTTTTCCTTAACTGAGCCTTGTACACCTCCTTCCGGCAAGTCCTGCATCCAAGCTGGTGTCAGATGTATTGCTCTGCTTTCCTTTGGACCACATGAACAAGGCTAAGAGGTGGATCTTGTCATCTGGGCAGCCCAGGACCTCCATACACATTGCGCAGGCTTGCGCCCCGGGAAGGTCACTTTGGTGCTGCTAGCACAGTGGTTTAACTCTTCCCCCTGGAGGCGCACTCCATTGTCTCTCCTCCATTGTCTCCATTGACAGATGGATGTCAACAAGATACCACATTATTTATACAGGGCTTTAAAGTGTTCAAAGCAGCTCACATGTAATAATGTAATCTTTAGAACAACAACCTTATAAGATAGGCTGCTAATGCAATCTTAGGCTGTGTTAACAGATGTTTTATGTCTGGATCATGGGAAGTAATGGCTCTGCTCTGTTCTGCACTGATCAAGCTCCAGTCCTGGGTGCCACATTTTAGGAAGGACAATTGGAGCATGCAAATTGGAGCATGCCCAAAGGAGGTTTGGGGGTTCCGCAAATCCCCATAGTACAATGAACAGTTGAAAGACCTAAGTATGTTTAGCTTAAAGAGAAGATGAAGGAGAGACATGATAGCACTATTCAAAGGTCTGAAGGACTGCCATGTGGAACATGGAGCATTTTTGCTCTCTGTTGCTCCAAAAGGAAAGAAAAAGTAATTTGTGGAAATTTTTAGGGAATAAGATTTCAGCTTAAAAGGTGGTGTTTTTGAAGGTGAAGTCCAGCCAACAGCGGAATAAGACTGCCTGTGGTCTCCTCTTTACTTGATGGCAAAGGATAGGAGAAGGGTGAATAGACATTTGTCAGAGATGCTTTTGTTGCACCCTGCACAGCAGAACTTGCACTGAGCAGGGTGTTGGTCTCGTTGAACCCCTACTGTCCCAACTCTTATTGTTATTACTACTATCCTCTTATCACAGACACTGGATGAATGGACTAAACTGGACTGAGGGAGAACAATTTGCCAATATTGAGGCCCCTTCCACTATCATATTACTTTAAGCAGGCATGGTCCCCCCTCCCCCAAATCATGGGAACTGTAGTTTATCAAGGGTGCTAAGAGTTCCCCTCACAGGGCTACAGTTCCCAGAGTGGTTTACTCTTCCCTGGGTAGTCAGAGAATTGTAGGTCTGTGAGTTGGTCAGTGCCCTTGACAAGCTACACTTCCCAGTGTTCTTTGGGTGGGGGGAGCTATGGCTGCTTAAATTACTATGACACTTGCTTTAAATGTATAGTGCAGATGGGGCCACAGATTCAGGCAGGGACTGTCTGATCTTAAAGCTCTATCTCGGACTTTAGGTCATATCCACACCATATATTCAAAGCACATGGCCTTCCCCCGATGAATCCTGGGGACTGCAGTTTGTTAAGGGTGCTGGAAATTGCTGGGGGAAATCATGACAATTAAAGCAGCATAAATATGCTTTAAATGTACAAGTAAACACATCGGATTTAACTTTGCCAGCTTGCTGAACTCTGCACAGCCTGATCCAATGCATGCTTATGCAGAAGTAAAGTTCCACTGAGTTCACTGGGATCTGCTCCCTATTAAGCATGCATAGGATTGCAGTTGAGAGTGCACAACTGCTGCAAGAGTAAGTCACACTGAAATCAGTGGAACTCATAAGTAACGTGTAGGACAACAGAAAAAAAACCTACTAAACTGGTCTTCTAAACCTGTGCTATTAGGATTTTATTTTTACGGCAAGAGAACTTAAGGGGAAGGACTTTATTGTTTGTTTATCACTGAAGTAGAAAGCTTTGCATTTGCAACAACAGCTGGTATATAGTCTTACATAGTGACCTCTAAAACATTTTAATCAGTGAAACAGAACTGTAGTAACTCAGGTTAGGATCACACAGCCTTGGAAATAAAGAGCTGGGAATTTTTTCCTGCTTGCATTGAAAAGTACTGCATTAAACTGATCTGCACATATTAATGTAGATTTGTTTCTGAGCGTATAACTTTTGGCATTCTGAGTCCTAAGAGAAGAGCCTTCTTTCAGACAAGCACAGCTTTGTAAGTTTGGTGTGTGACCTTCTTTCCCACCCACACATCTGATGAATGCCATGATGTACAAACAGCTACTCTTAAAGGGACACTCTCAATGTAGTAAATAGGGTGGTGGGTCTGTGTTGCTTTATGGCAAGAATAACAAATGGTGAAGCTGTGGCCCTCCAGATGTTGATGGACTGCAAATCCCATCAGTCCCAGACGGGACTGAGGCCAATGACCTGAGGTGATGAGAGTTGGAGTCCAACATCTGGAGGCCCACAGATCTGCCATGCCTGCTGTGTGTGTGTCGCAGGTAAGGGTTTTTTAAAAGACACATCACACACACACACAAAAATGCACATTATGTTCTAAAACTACCATTTTTAAAAAATGATGGACAGAACTCCTGTAACTTTGAAGCATTCATTGGCAGGTGAATAGTCATAGTGGTACAGGAACTGAAAAATTGACTCGTCCTTCCACTTGCCCATCTCTTTAGTGCACCTGGTCATCAAAATGGCACAATTTATTTCTAACCCTCTGTGGGCAGTATCTTTGCTCTGGGTTTGCATAATACAGGGCAGTGCTGTAGCATGGGGGGGGGCGCAGGGACACCACCTCAAACCCTTTCCATTGTGTCTCTTCAGTGTTGTCCTTATTGCTGATAGACGCTATCAGAAGAAGGACTCCGTCATCAGCTCAGTGCACACAAAAGTGAAAGGGATTTCTCAGACTGAAGCAAGGATCTGGGACACAGTGGAGTACACTCTCCCTATCCAGGTATGTCTCAACTCCTTGACCAGGGAGCAACCTGCTTTCAGTGACCTGAGTGATTGCTTTTTGGCTTTGGGATATAAAGCAGAGGTTGGGCACACCTTGAGTGTGCATTACGAACCCTGCCTGGAGATGCTGGGAATTGAACTTGGAACCTTTCTGAACGCAAAGCAGGAGCTCTGTCACTAAGCTACAGCCATTCTCCAAAGGATCACTGAGCTATGGTCCTTCAGCAACATGGGGGGGGGGGAGCAAAGTTTCACCACACCTGGTATAGGGGAAAGACTGTAGGTCAGTCTCCCACATCTTCATGTAGGGCATAGAGTGACGCCCATTTGAAACCTTGGAGAGCCGCTGCCATTCAGCATAAGGCAGCAGTCTGTGTTTCCTTAGACAGATGGCAGTTCAGCCTGTGCTTGAATACCTTCAGTGAAAAAAAACCCTTCCATGTTCTGAGGCAGACATCTTCCACTGTCAAACAGTCTTCTCCCATCCCCAATTTTGTTTTATTTGTTGAATGTTCATCTAGAAAAGAGAGGATAACTCCATAGCTCTTGTTCCTGATAGTTTATGATATTTTGCTTGGTCCCTAATAAATGTATTGCCTTCTTTAAACTATGTGACTTTGGGGTTTGTGGCTTTTGATCCCCCCCCTCCCCATGGAACAATCTTTTGAAGAGATCCGCTTTTAACCCCCTTTGATCAGTTAATAGTTAACCCCCCTTTGTTCTTTCTCTTTTGCTTCCTTTTTTGTGTATGCAGGGAATAAATTCATTCTTTGTGCTAACCAATATCATCAAGACAGAGAACCAAGTCCAGGGACTTTGCCCTGAGGTAACTCAATTTTGTGAGTGATGCTATTATCTGTGTGGAGAGGGAAATAAGCCATATTCTGTAACGGAAGGCTTTTTAATTAGTGTCTCATTGCTATGGTGATCCTACTTCATCAGGTGCTGATTCATCTTTCCCATCACAACCTTGTTAGATTTCAGAGAAAGAAAAAACCTGCAACAACTAGTCCAGAATTTGTTCTTTGCATTCTCTGTTTAAGCTTGAATCTTTTGTTCTGCACATTTCGTAAGTTTTCTGTTCAGGCATGAAATCTGGTAACTGGTGTAGCAGGTTTCAGCAGACCAAGGACCTCAGATTTCATTTTAGGAAAATGAAATGACCTTCCTAGTCCTTATGACCAGGAAGACAGAAATACAGTGGTACCTCGGGTTAAGTACTTAATTCGTTCCGGAGGTTCCGTTCTTAACCTGAAACTGTTCTTAACCTGAAGCACCACTTTAGCTAATGGGGCCTCCTGCTGCCACCACACCCCCGGAGCACGATTTCTGTTCTCATCCTGAAGCAAAGTTCTTAACCTGAAGCACTGTTTCTGGGTTAGCGGAGTCTGTAACCTGAAGCGTATGTAACCCCAGGTACCACTGTACGCAGTTTCAAGTGATGTTGAGCTGGGCTTAATGAAACCTAGTGCTTTGGTATAGCTTTTTACCCCACAGCTATTGGTCCCCAATCCTCAAGTCCTGCTCTTCTTTAATGATGGCATTATTTCTGTTGTTATTATTATTATTATTTTCCTCCTTCACCCAAAGGTCCCAGGGTACGTTACAAAAAATATATAGAAAACAACCTACTATCAGGAAAATAAGGTGTGTTGTAAAAATATACACCTCAAGTGGTAGACAAAGGAAAGAAATGCTTTCTACAGGGAGGCTGGCCGGGTGTCGTTATTACATATCTTGAGGTGCCCGGCAAAAACATTACTCTTCTCCCAGGCCTTTGGCTAATTAAAAAATCTAGAGCCTTTTAAACTGGGGGTATTGTTTTTGTTTGTTTACTGTGTTGTGTATTTTTGTGTTTTTACATTGTAAACTGCCTTGTGATCCTCAGATGAAGGACAGTATAGAAATTATATAATATATTATTATTATTATTATTTATTATTATTATTATTATTATTATTATATTTTTATTATTATTATTAATACCCCGCCCATCTGGCTGGATTTCCTCGCCACTCTGGGCGGCTTCCAACAGAATATTAAAATACAATAGTCTATTAACCATTAAAAGCTTCCCTAAACAAGGCTGCCTTCAGATGTCTTCTAAAAGTCTGGTCGTTGTTTATCTCCTTGACATCTGGTGGGAGGGCATTCCACAGGGCAGGCGCCACTACCGAGAAGGCCCTCTGTCTGATTCCCTGTAACTTGGCTTCTCGCAGTGAGGGAACCACCAGAAGGCCCTTGGCGCTGGACATCAGTGTCCAGGCAGAACGTTGGAGGTGGAGACGCTCCTTCAGGTATACTGGACCGAGGCCGTTTAGGGCTTTAAAGGTCAGCACCAACACTTTAAATAATACAAATAAAAAGAAAAATGGCCTTGCTGAGAGTGAGACGGACCAAAGTAGGACAGCATACAACCAAGCCTGGGAACTGTAGTTTATCAAGGGTGCTTGGAATTGTAGCCTTGTGAGGGATAAACTACAGTTCCCAGGATTCTTTGGAGGAAGCTATCTGTTTTTAAACATACAGTGTGTTCACAGCCAGGGCTCTGGCTTCTGTTGGTGTGGTCTGAAATGAATATGCAATGCTAAAAATGAAAACACGTATTGTATGTTTACTTTCCCCCGTTCCTTTTGCTCAGTTTCCCCTTGCCAAAGCTGTTTGCTCTACCGACAAGAGCTGTATGAAAGGTCGTATGGACCCTCAGATTAATGGTACGTGGGGTTAATGTTTGTAATATGCTGCAGAAAAAAGTAAAAGAAAAGCTGGTTGCTTTTTAAATTTTAATTTACAAAGTTTAATTTACAAAGTTCAACAAATTTTACAGCCAACAATAATGAAACTTTACTGCAACAGCAACTTAAACTTGAGGTGACTGTGGCTGCATACCTTATGATAAAATATTCAGTTTACTTGTCACTTGATTAAGGTAAAGGTAAAGGTACCCCTGCCCGTACGGGCCAGTCTTGACAGACTCTGGGGTTGTGCGCCCATCTCACTTAAGAGGCCGGGGGCCAGCGCTGTCCAGAGACACTTCCGGGTCACGTGGCCAGCGTGACAAGCTGCATCTGGCGAGCCAGAGCCGCACACGGAACGCCGTTTACCTTCCCGCTGGTAAGCGGTCCCTATTTATCTACTTGCACCTGAAGGTGCTTTCGAACTGCTAGGTTGGCAGGCGCTAGGACCGAGTAGTGGGAGCGCACCCCGCCGCGGGGATTCGAACCACCAACCTTTCGATCGGCAAGCCCTAGGCGCTGAGGCTTTTACCCACTGCACCACCCGTGTCCCTTGATTAAGAAAGGCTAATTGGTTAATTATACGGGGCTACCACATTTTATTGGTACAGCCACGCTGTGTGATGCGCCAAAAAGCAGATTAAAGGCCCATAAATTGGATTTGTTCAAGACAGGGCATAGGATTAAGTGTGAGGTTGTGCAAGTTCTTTGCCATACATTCAGTGTGTAAATCACATTCAAAGGAGCTGCCTTTAGGGCAGGGATTTTAAACTGGGGTTCCTCACTGTCCCTGACAATGAGGTAAGACTGCCATTTCTTTACCTCACAGATTTATAGTCAAAAGATCTGGAAACTGGGAGTTATGTAACTTCACATGCATTTTTAAAAAGAATTCATTAGACATCCACTTGCCTTTAACATATTTTATATCAGCCTTCCATATGTTCCATCAGCCCCTATGAAAAATGGGAGATTTGTGAAGGCTAGTTTACTGACGATATTTGATGGCCACCTGCCTGTCAATTGTAACCTACTTTGGATTCAGTTTTGCCTACAACAGGATTGTACAGTGGTACCTCGGGTTAAGTACTTAATTCATTCTGGAGGTCCGTACTTAACCTGAAACTGTTCTTAACCTGAAGCACCACTTTAGTTAATGGGGCCTCCTGCTGCTGCCGCGCCGTTGGAGCCCGATTTCTTTTCTCATCCTGAAGCAAAGTTCTTAACCTGAAGCACTGTTTCTGGGTTAGTGGAGTGTGTAACCTGAAGCGTATGTAACCCGAGGTACCACTGTAAACACACACACACACACGACAGACAGATTTCTTACAAACCACATACCATAAGCTTCAAATCCTGGCGTTTCATGGGCAGTGTCAAAGTTCCTGTGGGTGGCAAAGAAGGCCAGAAAACAGCTTGTGACGTGTCCCAGAGATTGCCCTTGGTGTGGAGTTTGTGTAAGTCGTTGCTGCTTGCTATGACATCTGGATTTGTATTCTGCTATTCTGTGCCATAATATTTTCCCTACCTGTAATGCTCCTAATCTGTGTCTATGAAAGCAAATCAGTTTAAAAACCTCAACTAGCAACAAGGTTATATTCCATAAATGAAAGCTGATTTCTGCTCTCTACAGGAATTCAGACCGGCAAATGTGTGAACTACAACACAACCATCAAAACATGTGAGGTCGCAGCTTGGTGCCCCGTGGAGTCAATTAAAAAGGCTCCGGAGTAAGACAGGTTTTTTCATAGCAGTCTGTGCACCCTTTTACTGCGAGGAGGAGGGACCTCAGGCTGGGGCTGCCTGGCCCTTGGTCCTCTCCCCAGGCCACGTCCCTCACGGGCTCTAGGTCACCCCCTGGTTGACCTTGCTTCAAATGGGCACCTGCAACAGGTGTGCCACCGTGAGAACAGGATGCTGGAGCAGGTGAGCCGTTGGCCTGATCCAGCAGCCTCTTATCTCTGATCATTCCTCTCGCTTGCTTAGATGAGAGAGATGTGTGAATATGTGCAGAAACTCTCCTACCACATGAGTAAATTTACATCCATTGCTTCACCTACTTTTGCTTCTTGCTCTGCTCACCACTGACATATGGCCCCTGGAATGTTGCCCAGTAGGGAATGCGGCCCTCGGGTTAAAGCTCCCCCCCTTACTATATTCAGCATGTGTGCCCCTGACACTGTCTCATTCCTGCTGATACTGATAAAAGTCACTCAAATATATTTACAACTCTAGAAACAGCGAGGAATCCCATTCACAGATCCTGGGGTCCCCCCCCCCATTCAGCTTCAAATGCATCACAGCTTTCCAGCTAATACTGTTATTAAACTATATGATGATATTTAATAAATGGGACTTTATTTTTTGAGATCTTTCATCCTTGTCTGGGGTCTCATTTTAGGCCTGCCATTCTGAGAAGTGCTGAAAACTTCACTGTGCTGATAAAAAACAACATTCACTTCCCGAAATTTAATTATACGAAGTAAGTGCAGACATGTGTTTCAACTGCCCTGATTTCCGGTAAATTGCTTTTACTGTTACTGCCTCTGGGGCAATGTTGGGGTGCCTGTTTAAAATTCTGCTTGTGTGACTTGCTGGAGCCATCTCTAGGGTCCACCTGTCCCCCATCTTGTTTGCCTGGTTTACGTGATGGAGCCGTGGGCACATTCACACTGCTCCAGTTCTCCTGCTGAGCTCCTTCCCTAGCCCAAGTAGAAACAGCAAACCACTAGCCTGCCCCAGCTGACTGTTGCCGCCAAACCAATGTTTATGGTTTGTTTTGCCCCAAGCAAGGCACAGTGGCCAAGCAAAGAACAAAACCTGGTGTCATGCTTCCTTCATCTGATTCCGACCTGGTTTAGGAGGCATTTGAGGAGGATGACTTGGATGGCCGGGGTGGGGGTTGGGGAGAAAACTATGCTGCACAGTCCTGTTGACAATTCCTCCTCTCTGTGCTCAGACACACAACAAGGCGGGAGTCCTGGGGGCTGCTCTTTCCCTGCAGGCAAAGGATAAGGAGGGAAACTCATTGAAACAACTTTGCAGCTCCTGGGCTGTTGTGGAACTCTTACTACTAATTTCAGACTCCTGGTCCTTGACTCCTGCTAATGAACTTATTGCTGTTCCTCTTTTCCTTGTCAGAGCACCTGGACCAGGCTCTGTTCTTTATTAGCCACTGAATTTGTATTGTTAGACCACTATAAGACCACTTTTCAAGCAAAGAAACCTGTTAATTGGTTTTGAGTGGGGGCCAGGACACTTGGCTTCAGATCATGGGTTGCTGGGAGCAAAACAAATCATGGATGCCGGCTTGGACATCATGCTATGATAAAGGCCATGGTTTGCTGCTTGTGCCAGGAGAATGGTTGGGCAATGTGCAGTAGCACTTGCATGCATGGTAAGCCATGGATTCTGGCTTACCACAATGTTTGAACATAGCCACTGCCTCTAAAAGTTACATCCACCACTATCCTACTCCAGGCTAAACTGCACAATATGTAGCTTTTTGAAATTCACAAAAATTACTAGCCTGCAAACATTTTTTGCCAAGTGGCCTGTGCTTCCATATAGGTTGCAAATGAGGAGAAATTATTTCAATTGCAGCCAGCACAGGCTACTGCCTCTTAGCAGACTAGTAATACTTTTTGCAGGCTAGTAAGTAACTTTTGTGGGTTTATTCACAAAGCTGATGACGTATTGTGTAGTTTTGGCCTCCAGTAGAGTTGTGGTGCTGTAGATACAGTGGTACTATAAGAAAAGCATAATAAAACTGTTGTGATAGAAATTTCCCCCAGCTTTTTTTAATTTTCTTATAAACACTGGGCGAAGTCAGCCCAGCTACCATAAACAATTCATTTTGTGTTGCCTGCAAAATTAAAACAACACTACTTTCCCTCCCATTCTCTGCAGAAGAAACATTTCACCGGATTTTAATATTTCCTGCACATACAACAAGAACACTGCTCCGCATTGTCCAATTTTCCGGCTGGGAGATATTCTCCGAGCATCAGGGGAGAACTTCTCAGAGGTGGCTGTTCAGGTCTGTGTCATCTGTTTTGGCTATAGAAGGCTTGTCTGTATTATGCCCCTGCTCACTTGGCTGTGTGCAGACTATACCTTTGAAACACATTCAAAGCAAATCCTTTCTCGCAAAGAATTCTGGGCACTCTAGTTTACCCACTTAGTTACCACTCCCAACAATCCTTAACAAGCTACAGTACCCAGAATCCTTTGAGGGAAAGTTCTTCATATGCACTTTAAAGTGCAAGCTGAATTATTTCTCCCTTCCTTTTGATAAACTTTCAGTCTGTGAAGAGACGGTTGGGAAGCCGATTGGCATAAGGACCAAATATTTATTTCTATTTCAAGGTCTGATCTGCTCACTTTCACCAGCTTGGGAGCACAACAGTGTCTACCCCCGTTGATGATCAGCCCCGTGTTAAAAGTACTCATCTTACTCTCTCTCCCAAGGGTGGCATCGTGGGCATCGAAATTAACTGGGATTGCAACCTGGACAAGTGGCTTCACCGCTGCGAACCCAAATATGGTTTCCGGCGTCTGGATGACAAAAAAACAAATGAAGCCTTGTACCCTGGAAACAATTTTAGGTAATTTTTTTGTAATTTTAGGTAAAACATGCTTTTGAAGACTTTACTGTGTTGCAACTATCCCCAACCAGGTGCCCTCCAGGTGTTCTGGGCTATAAATCCCAGCAGTCCTAGCCAGCAGCTGGGTGCAGAATTCAGCATCTTGAACACTTTACTTGTTTACCCTCCTCCCCCATATTTCTAGTTTCTAGGTCTCATGGCTGCAAAGGTTTGAAACAGCACAGGTGATGCCAGAGAGGTGCTGAAATGGGCTCTCCCCATGCCACAACAAGATAGGGCTTCAGTTTCCTACATTGTTTTTTGTTTTCCCAAGACTAGCAGCAGAGAAACCTATCCCAAACAAGGCAAATTAGCTTGACTTGCATCCATTTTTAAAACATTGATTTCCCCTCCCTCTTATAATGTGCATTTTGAAATGGGCTTATTTGGGGATTTCAACTATTTGGCAATTCTGAAAAACCAAAGGCCTTTCACACCAAAGTCATCTGCCGCCTACTGCAGTCATGCTGATAAAGCACACAGGATGTCTCTCCGCCTCATGACAGTCCCTTTGCTGACTGCTGCTACACTCCCCCACTTCCCCTTTTACTCCCAATTTGGTGCTAGAGAGTGAAGCCAATCCTGGCCTGCACTGTAGGCTGCGGGAGGGGGGATCACTGGGAGGCTGCACCCCAGATTCCCAGGAAGAACAGGGCAGCAAGGGGAAAACCAGTGTGGTTCCATTGGCCATAGAAGGAGCAGCTACAGGGATTTTTGCTTAAAACTTTCTTTTAAACTTTCTTCTGACTGCCAGTTTTCACTGGACCAGAGAGCTGGAAAGAAGTATGCTCTTGTCCCATCCATAACTTGAGAATGAGGGCTGCTGGAGTGGGTGGTAGGTGTGTCCTCATATGACAGTCTATTGCAGCTTTCCCACTCCTGATGCTCTCTAGGGCAAAATGGCTCGCCTTGAGGGGAGTTTTACCAGGTCAGGGAAGCCTGGTCTTTAGGAGATTTATATATCCTGCTTACAAAATGGGTGATTTTGTGGGTCTTGCACAGGATATTCCCTTGATGATTTGCACCCCATGTTTCCATTACATTCTAAATCCACACATCAGAATGGGCTCCTTGCTTTGGGGACAGGAGGTTTCCCATGGGGAATCCAAAATAACTTTGCCAGAAGCATCAACAGAAGCTTAGCTCTGTTCTTCCCAGTAAAGCATGCCTGAGCCAGTGACTGGAGATCCCACAACGGAAAATCAAAGTTCATTTATGCTGTGAGGAGAAAAGCAGCTAGTACGAGGCAGGGTGGTAATCCGATGACTCACCAGAGTGTGCTGTACTGTTGAGCGGAAAACTTGCCCAACAGAGTACGGAAAGCCAAATTGCAATGGCCTTTGTGTTCTTTGCAGAGAAAGGATTTGGGGTTCTGGGGTCTGATAATGAGTGTGATGGGGGTTGCAGGTTCCACACAGGTGTGTTGTGTGAGGAAGGAAGCCATCTTCCAGCGCTCTTTGGAGTCCAGGCCAATGCTCGCTCACATCATCCAAACTGCTCTTAACAATACCTTGTCCAACTGTGTTGTTTGGTCCTTGCAGATTTGCAAAGTATTACAAGCAGGCTGGTGGGAAGGAGGAGAGAACCCTGATCAAAGCCTATGGCATTCGCTTCGACATCCTCGTGTTCGGCACGGTAAAAGGAAACTCATCCTGACTTCCTGTTGCTGGTTTTCGATCATGTCAGAGAAATGGGAATTTGAAGGCCAGATTATGCATGACATCACTGGCAATTGCATGATTTAAAAAATATTATTTGTATGCAGTGCTTTTTTTCTTTAAAAAATGTTTAGGGGTACTCTCATTTTGACTCAAGAAAACCACCATTTTATAGTTCAAATCAGGAAAAATAAATACAGTCATACCTCGGGTTACAGACGCTTCAGTTGCATGTTTTTGGGTTGCGCACCGCGCCGAACCCAGAAGTACCGGAACGGGTCACTTCTGGGTTTCGGCGCTCATGCATGCGCAGAAGCACTATATCGCGCTTTGCGCAGAAGTGCCGAATCGCGACCCGCGCATGCGCAGACGCAGCGCTGCGGGTTGCGAACATGCCTCTTGCACAGATCACGTTCGCAACCCAAGCGTCCACTGTACAGTAAATGGACAAAAGTACAAAGAATCACAAAATGTTTAGGGGTATGGGTACTCCTGCGCCCCCCCCCCCCCGAAAAAAGCACTGTTTGTATGTGAATAGCAGGCAGTGGAAGCCTGATCTGGACCAGCGTTGTGGCAGTGTGGGGAGGGGACTTAACCTTTTGCCATCTGTGTCTATTTTCATGGGAAGGAAAGCTAGTAGGACTTTGTGTTAGGAGGCAGTTTATCCACCATTTGGGTTTCCTTTGGTATGTATTAAATTTTAAAAATTTGGGGTGGGGGATTTGAGGGTCCTCCTAACATGGATATAAAATCTGAAGAGCCGCTCATTTTTCTTGCCACAGCAGCAGAATTGTCAGTTCCTCAAAAGGGGAAAACACAAACTGATCTTGAGGTTGCTGTATGCTGCAATAATGTGTGGAACATTATTACTCTGGGAAAAGATCATGCTTAAAACATGCTCTTTGGCAAAACTTTTGTCACCTTTATAAACCATTCTGACGTGTAGTATTCTCCACCATTGCATCCTCTTCAGGTATGGGCTTCATGCTGTGTGGATGCTGATGGTTCTGTTGCCAGCGATGGCTGTCTCCTTTCTGCTTGCAGGCATGTGGATGGAATCAGTTCCCTGTAAGGGACAGACACCAAATTCATAGATACTTTTATGTATTCTGAATATGCAGCATGTCCAAGAACTTCACATCTTGAATTTTTCTCTGTGTATGTTTGTTTGTGTACCATTTTATTGTTGCATATAAAAAACATTTATTTTTAAAAAAGGAAATGAATTGGCAGAAGTGGGCTAGATGGACCTGAGGAAACAGTTTCATGTGCTCATATTTGACACTTTGGATGCCACTGTTTTTTTATTATTTTATTCACCTTACTTGATTTTTTACCAGTTTAATTTCTAACTTGAAATAGAGTGTAGCTTGTTTGTATTTTGCAGTTTTGTGCCCTGGTTCAGTGCTCTCTCCTCATCCTTTTTCTAGAAGCAGGCCTGACTCAATCTATGAAACAGACGCTGAGAAAAGGGTGAAACTCAATTGCTGTCTTTTAGAAAAACAACAACAATAATCTCTTTTGTTCTCTGTTTCCTTGTCTTCCAACCCTGACTCCCCACCAAAGGCTGGGCGATTTGATTTCTTTGAGCTCCTGGTATATATTGGTTCTGCACTCTCCTATTTTGGCCTGGTAAGAGACTGTTTTATATCTCTTGTCATTTGGGTGGAGGATGATTTCAGCACAACTTGCTTCAATTAAGAAAACTGAATCAGCATTCTCTTGGATTTTCTTCTTCTTCACAGGCACAGTTTGTAGTTGATTTTCTCATTACTTCATATTCATGCCGTTGCTTCAAGTACAACCCAGTGAAAGAATATTACATCAAGAAAAAGTGTGAGATGGTGCCAGGACCAAGATGGGTAAGAAATGCAATTAATTGCAACATCCTGAAGCCACTTATGGATATAGCTAGGGAATTCACCTTACTGCAAGAAAGGAAATGCTGGATTTGGACATCACACTAAACTGTGGTTTAGTGAGATATGAGTATGCCTAGTCTCCCCTTGTGCTACTCTCTTCACCTCCGACACAGCTGGGAGGGGGAGTTTTTTGAGGTTTTGCTTCTGCTTTTGGTTAACCACCAGACTTGGAACTGTAACTACCATAAACTATAGTTAGTTTAAAATAGCCATTCTCTGAAACCAAGAACTGAAGTTGGCTTGTTTGAAACCAGTCGTAGTTAAGGTAATCCGCAGAATCTAGTTTTCTGTGTGTTGTTGACTAGCCAAGTAAATGACTGCAGTTAGGTGGCCAAACAAAGCATGGTTAAGGAAGGGGGCTGGTTCACATTTAGTTCCAAGCCATAGTTAAAACCAACCAAGGCTCAGAAGCTGGCAACAAAGCCTGACTTCTGATCATGGTTGTTGACAGTAAATATACCATAGTTTTGGTTTTGACTGCCAAACAAACCATGGCCAATCCAACAATAAACTATGGATAAGTATTAAGTGTGAACAGGACACTGAGTAACAGCTGCACACTTACTGCTTAGTTGTAAAATGATAATTTGGAAAGGTCCAAACAAGCCATAGTGGTAAGTGTAAGATTCAAACAAATTGCTGCCTGTCCTCGTCTTCTATTGTTAATACATCTGAAATAACAAGTTCATTCAGTGAAACGCTTGGGTTGATAAAATGTCTTTGTTTATTTCGTTGGGCAGACTCTACTTTATGTGACTTTTGTTGATGAGCCACACATCTTTATGATTGACAAATTTTTGAGGACCAGCCTACAGAAAGTTAAAGGCGAGGTTATCCACGTGAGTTGGGGTCTTCCTTTTTATATGTGTGTACCTGTCTGCCTGTGCCTACATACAGATTTGTGAACAGGTGAAATGTTTTCAGAGGCTTGAAGAGGGTGGGGTGGGCTAGCCTATGCTAACCTGGTGCCCTCCAGATGCTTCACACAACAACTCCCATCAGTCAGACCCTTGCTGGTTGGGGCTGATGGAAGCTATACTTGAAAACATCTGGAGAGCACCAGCTTGGGGTAGACTTCGCTAAACCATAGTTTAGTATTAGGAAAACAAGCCTTAGCAAACCTTTAACTTGTACACGCTTTCCTTCTCTAGTGTGCCTGTGAGAGGGAGACAGAAACCTCCCACTTTAGATTATTCTTTGTTTTAAACAGCTGTTCAGAAATACATTTTTGTGTGTGTGAGTGTATAAACACACACACACGTGCTTAATTCCTGTATATAACTAATGCATAAAAACAAAGCATCATAGTCAAACAATATTGGTTACATGAGCAATCAAGAAAAACAAAGGAATTATATACACCACGTATGTTAACTCAATCTTTCCATTGTTTCCAGAATCCATAAGGTTGAATATTCCTGAGTACATATCACAAAACTGCTCCATTTTTCAAATAAATAAATAAATCAATAATCTTCCCATGTTCTTACTATATTTATTAATTTAACATTAGTCATTTACTATATATACTATCTAATCTTCCAAAGTTGGAATCACTTCCATTTTAGATTAATTCCCATTTGCCTTGTTGTCTGAACATAGACAAGCTGTCATTAATGTTGACTATGGTTAGTTGAAAGAAGCCAACCTCAAACCACCGTTTATGAAACTGGTCTGTTTCAACTAACTGCAGTTACGGTTAACCACAGTTTAGGATTTGGGTGATACATTAAACAGGGCGCACAAACCTGAGGCTCACTGGCTCATTCTGATATGCCAAAACAATGGTTTAGTGTTATGTTCCAACTCAACCAGTATGGTAGAACCTTCAGTGCCCTCGCTCACATGTCACATTAAGCAAAACCATGGATAAGCATGAATGAACAGGTGTGCAGATACAAAGAGGGGAAAAATCTGGTCACTTTACTCCTCTGGCAGCAAGACCAGGGGAAGACTGAAGCAACCACAACTCATGCACTCATTTATTCATGCTTAACCATGGTTTGGCTTAACATTACGTGCTAACTGGGCCGTTGCCTGTGATTCACCTGTTGGATCAGAGACAGGAGCAGGACTGAGGAAATGAATGTGTGTAACTTTGGCAACGGCTTCATCCTACAGCTTTCAGTGTCTGATGTCCTAAGAACATAATGATAGCCCTGCTGGATCAGGCCAAAGCCCACCTAGTCCAGCCTGCTGTCCTCACAGCACTCCACCAGGTGCCTCTATAGGAGACCTGCAAGACCCATCTCAAAAAGGATATGGCAGAGTGCAATAAACACAACCAGGGGTTTGGAATATCTTCGCTGGGGAGAAAGGTTAAATGTGTGTTCATGTGTGTGTGCGCATTCTTAGAGCCCCCCTTAGTGACACTGGCAAAATTAAAGAGCTGCTGTCCAGCATGGCTAAGCCTGTTATGTTCAATACAGCTAAGTTTGCGATAAGAGCTTTCCAGTACAGCAGTGCAGGAGTCTTTTCCCCAAAGTAGGACTCGAACTCACGACCCTGAGAGTCTCATGCTCCGCCTACTGAGCTATATGCAGACACATATATGTATTATATATGCTTTATTACATGTGCTTTATTATACTTTTCTTAATAACTTTTTTTGCATGCTAAAATCCATTGGCTTACGCTTTCCCCCCCTTTTTTTTTCTTTTTTGGTCTATTGTGGCGATCACACAGGGTCCCCAGAGGTTTCACCGTCTATTGATCCCTGTGCCACCACTTTATTTCTCGCTGCCACCACCCAGGCTCTACCTGGGACAATACTGAGTCTAGTCTTGGTTAAATTGGAACATAAACTTCTGTTTATTTATTGCAGTTTAACAAACATGCGGTTTCATAAATGGTATCGGTCCATTACAATCATGGGGTGCCTATCCAGACCTATAACTTCCGCTACCTGCTCTCACTCACTAAACCACCTGTCAGATATTTACTCGTCTTCTAGCTCCTAACTGTTCCTGACTGAGCTTATTTCTCTACACTAACTCAAGCTCCCCACAGACTCTATCCCAAATCACTCCCACTCCAACCAACCACCCAACTCCCAACGAACTACCCCTTCGCCCCTCCCAGAGCTGGTTTTGTAGTCCCTCTGACTCCACCCCCTGGGTTCTGATTGGGTAACTTGTTTAACTAATTCACCTCCAGCACTCTCATATGTTAACGTCACATCTATAATCTGTATTTGATTGACCAATAAATTTTGATTTGATTTGATTGCAGAGAAATACTGGTGATTTTATGCGTGCTGCCAAACTCCAGCTGCAACATCCGGATGAAGTTGTGTCTCTTCTTGGGGACTCTGAAGAGGTGCATCCCCTCCAGAGCCAAGGGGGACCTGCTTCTTCGTCGTCTTCTTCCTCCTGTGAGCGTCCTGCCTGGTGCAGCTGTGGGAAATGTCGTCCAGCCAAGGGCTACTGGGAGCAGCTCTGTTGCCGAAGGAAAAATGGGGCCTGCATCACAACCTCCGATCTATTTGAGCACCTGGTCCTTTCCCGGCCGATGCTGAAGTTTGTCCTCCTCTACAAAGAGCCCTTGTTGGACCTGAATGGTGAGGCATGCAACAGGAAGTTTCGGCACTGCGCTTACAAGCAATACATTCACTGGCGCTTTGGGGAGGAGGACCTGGAAGAAAGGGCTCTGATCCCCAACTGCTGCAGGTGGAAAATCCGGGATGCTTTCCCCAGCGAGAACGGTGAATATGCTGGCTTTGTGAAGAAGGCCTAGAGGACTGTGGAGACACTGCACTGTGGCTTTGGGGACAGAACAGATTCAGAGGGCGAGGCAGTGCCCCCTTTTGCAACCCCCCCCCCAAACCCCACCTCTTCAACAATCCTGCCATTCTGTGCTTCTCATTCCAATTAATCAAAGTCAGCACTTGCAGAGCAGCATGGTATAGTGGTTAGAGTGATGGATGAGTTCAAATCCCCAACCAGCCACGAAGTTCACACTGGATGACTTTGAGCCAGTCACCCTCTCTCAGCCTAATTTACCCCGCAGGGTTCTTGGGAGGATAAAATGATTGGGGAAGGAAGAACCACTTATTCTGCAGCCCTGAATTCTTTGGACAAAGAGTGAGCTATAAATGCAATAAGCAAACGGGTTTGCTCCATATTTCTTCCTGGTTGACCCTTGAACTGAAAAGCCATTTGGCTTCTCCTCCTCCTCCTGGTAGCCTCTGCCAAAAGAGAGATGCTGCTGCTGATGAAAGCAGGACACAGGTGAGAATAAAGCAGATTTTGGGAACCACAGGTCAAGCAAGGTGTCAGCCTCAGCCTCCCTAAATCTGTTTTTTGAGAGCAAAACGAGATGTGACTTTGACACAGCCTCCCCCAACCTGGTGCCCCCCAAATGTTTCGGACCACAAACCTCTTCTGGTTAGGGAGGATTGGAACTTCCTGGGGTCACCAGAATAGGGGAAGGTGGCTGTAATGACACAATAAGCAGCCACAACTGGGTTTTTGAAAACAAAATACCAGGCGCAGGACCACATTGCAGAGGAAAAGGAGTTTTAGTCTTCCCACCCAGACAAAAAATCCCACCCTGTGTGCTGCTGTTATCCCTAGCTTTTTGTGTTGGCAGAGGCTAATTGCCATGCTGGGGGGGGGCTGATTCTCATTGGGATCTCAGCTGAGGAGAGTTAAACTTCTCCTTCCTGTGTGTCACTCTTAGGGATGCCAGTGTGTCCACCACTAAGTACCTCCTATGGTGTCCTCAAAAGGTCTCACGAAATATCTCCTAAGAAAGGCACAAGAGGCTGTTCAGGACCTGTTTGTGCTGGTTGGGCTATCCTTGAGCTCATCCACACTCCTCCTTGTCCTGTGCCAAGAAAGCATGGGGTCCAGGAGGTTTTCCACTTGTCCAAGCGATTTTTCGTTTGTGCTGCTGCTTTCCCTCTAGTGGGGCAGGAGAGCTGAAAATGATGCCAATATATTTCACATCTGGCAACCAATGTGCCCCTTGGGTTTCAGATAATACATGAGTAGATGAGTCTAAAAAGCCCGGGACACAAATTTTCACAGCTCTCTAGTGGCTATAGTGACTCATTTACCAGATGTAATGTACCATTATAGTTTTTTGGGGGAGGGGACCCCCTAAACCCTAGAAATTAGTAAATGCTAGGATTTTGATTATTTGAGATGTGAAGGGAAAAATACGAGCTGCAGAGGTATCCCTGGGCTGGCTTATGCAGACCAGCCTGGCTGGGTTAGTGAAGAGCAAATCTCTTAATATGACAAAAGGTGTTGATGTGGAGGGAATCCTTTGGCCTGGGGAGTCAGATGTTACCCAGGTGGTGGGATGTGTGTGTTTGAGGTGGCAGGAAAAGAGTTTTTTACTAAGGTTTTCCGGGAGGAAGAAAGGAGGGTTGAAAAGGTCCATCTTGGGCAGGTTGGCTGAAGGCTGGCTGGGAGAGATCCCTTGGACTCCATGGCTGCACTGCTGTGAGGTACAAGGCACTCTTGAGATGATCATGCTGTAAGCTCTGGACTCCCTCCATGTAGACTGGAGGTGTAAATAGGTGAATAAACCATATTTCTTAAAGATACGAAAGTCTATGCCAGGGGTTGGCAATTTTTTTAGCCATGGGATAGTCCACTGTCCCTCAGACCTTGTGGTGGGCTGGACAAGTGGCACTGGAGGGAGGGAGCTGGAAGAAGAGGCGAGGGGGGCAAGTAGTCCTCCTCCTCTGCCGCTGCACTTGCCTTCCCTGGGGCTGCTGCCACCATCGCTGCTGCCGCCGCTGCTTCTCATGGGTAGGCAGAACAAGCTCATCCACTCTGCTCTCTGGCCCACAGGAGCAGCAGGGTGGCGGCATCAGAGGGAAGATGAACGGCGCAAAAGGGCTGGCTCCGGAGAGGGGCTGCTCAGCCCAGCCCCTTTCCTCCTCTAGGCAGGGCAGGAAGAAGCCAGGAGGGAGGGAGGAGGCTCAGCCGTGGTGTGTGTGAGGGAGGAGGGGGGAATGGAATGGTGGGGGGGGGAATGGCGCAAAATTCCCACACCAATCCACGGACAGTCCACAGGCTGGATCCTGAAGGCAATTTGGCCTGATCTGGCCCGTGGGCCTTAGTTTGCCAACCCCTGGTCTATGCCATGTCACAATTCTCCTAAGGACCACAGACCCTGGGCAAGTGCCTGGAACCCCATGGGCTCTTGCCACTGCTCAGCAGAGAGACGGGCAGGCACACAACTTTTGTAACAGTATTTAGCATTAACTAAATATATACTTAATTCTGACCAAACTAAGCTTCCCATGAGAGCTTTTTAGGCTCGTGTACTCTTGTACTATCTGGAACCAAAGAGGCGCATTGATTGCCAGATGTGATTGCCCTCCAGCTCTCCTACCCCGCCACTGGGAAAAGCCATTGTTTACCACTGAATCGGACAGAGCATGCATCACACTGCAGAAAAACCAGCTGATGTTGGGTTTTCCTGGGGGAAAGCAGCAGGACAGGCAGAAGTACGGATGAACCCCTGCACTGATCCCCACCCCTTCAAGATGCCTACATTTCATTGAATGCCATGATTGGGGACCTGCTCTCCCTGTTATGTTCTGAATAGAGAATTGCAAAGAGCTGCTCTCTCTGAGGAAGTGCTGCAGTGACTGGTTGCAGGTGCCTCTTTTTGTCCATTCATGGAAGAGATAACACTCGCAACATTTTGTGGTCTTGTGTCTCTTCCTGCTGGGTTGGAAATGGCAGCCATTTTGTCTTATGCCATGCTCCCACAACAGCCACTTTCTGCCTGGTGCCCAGGGCACTTTCTCAAAATTCCAAATGTGTCCCGAAAGGTGTTGGCCCTGCCTGACAAAAGCCAACGAGGGGAGTTGAATTGGTGTTTGCCGTATTTTTTGCCCTATAGGACGCACTTTTCCCCCTCCAAAAATGAAGGGGAAATCTGTGTGCGTCCTATGGGGCAAATACAGGCTTTCGCTGAAGCTTGGAGAGCGAGAGGGGTCGGTGTGCACCGACCCCTCTCGCTCTCCAGGCTTCAGGAAGCTATCAGCAAGCCTGGGGAGCCTGCGGGAGTTCCCGCAGGGCTCCCTAGGCTGCGGATATCAGCCTGTCGCCTGGCGTGCAGGCGCCCTGAAGCAAAGCACCCTGCGCGCCGGGCAGACATTTGCAGCCTGGGGAGCTCTGCGGGAGTTCCCGCAGGGCTCCCTAGGCTGCAGATAGCAGCCTGCTGCGCAGGGCGCGCTGAAGCAGAGCGCCCCGCGCTTCGGGCAGACATCGGCCAGCCCCACAAGCTCGGGGGACAGCGGGGAGGTGCAGCGCCGCCATACTGCTGTTCCCTGACCTGGTTTGGTTTCCCCGACCTGGTTTTGGGGGGGAAATAAAGGGGGGGAATTTCCTTTATTTCCCCCCCAAAAAACTAGGTGCGTCCTATGGGACGAAAAATACGGTAATTTTAAATCAGACCTTGTTGCTGCTTGTGCCATTAAAACACAACCTTCTTTGGTCCTCAGAATTTTCAATGCACACCTGGAATAGGGGATCCAGATCTTCCTGGCAGGCTTAAGCAGTCAGTACACTGTGGGTTAAACCAGTGTTTCCCAACCGGTGTTCCGCGGCACACTAGTGTGCCGCCGGACGTTGCCTAGTGTGCCGTGGGAGTAGTGGCGTAGCGTGGGGGGTGCCAGGGGTGCCAGTCGCACCGGGCGCAACATCTGCGGGGGGCGCGAGTCCAGAGGGAAGGGACATGTTCCTTCCTCCGCCGGGCTCCCCGCCGCCACCGCCAGCCTTGCGCCCTAGCGCGCGCGCCCCCCGCCGCCGCTGCGGCTGCGCTCCACTCACTGCTCGCAGGAGGAGCAGCCACTGCAGCAGCGCTGACACCGCCACCAACGCCTGGCCGGGCACGGGCAGCCTCCGCACGCCGACGCCATCCCCTTCCCCCTTTTTTTCCAGAGCTGGGGGAGGGGGAGGTTTTAAAAGGGGGTCTTGCATTGGCGATCCTGCAGCACTTTGGGCCGCACGACGCGAGCGCGCAGCACGGATCAGCCACGACCCCACCCCGTGCATTTCCCGGGGAAAAGTGCTCCACGTGGGAGGCGCGTTTCCCCTTCATTCCCTCTCGTGCAAATCCTCCTTGGGTTCCCTCCCCCGTCTTTCCTCTCCCTACCTCACAAAAGCCTCACCTCGTCGCCTCCTCGCTGCCTCTCGCCTCCGCAGGAGCGTTTCCCTCCGCGGAAGAAGGAGCAGGGCGCTTTTGCAACTTTGCCTTCCCCGCCCCACCACGGAGCACATTTTCCTCGCCCCCCCCAACCCCCGCATGTAGAATAGAAGCCCTCCAGCCTCCACGGTGCACAAACTCTCCCCTCTGCAACGAAGCGCTTTGTTGCATATCTTTGGTGAGGTTTTTAGGCAGTCTTGGTGCACCTTAAATCAGCGCTAATTGCGCCTGGACGCAGTATTTACTTCTGAGTAGGCCCCCTTCTCCCCCCCCCCCCGTAGCACCTGACGTTGCTATTCGTATCATCAGGTTTGTTTGTTGATAATTTAATTGTTTTAAAAGCATCATGCTAAAGAGCTCTCTCCCACCCCCAGACCCTTGGGCAAAACAGAAACACACACATACACAAACACAGAGATTGAGCCCTGCAGGTTTTATGAAATGAATGGATTCTGAATGCCTGTTTCAGTGGCTTGTCCGCCTTAGGCTGCTGGGCCAGACACCTGTTACACGGTGCAGTCCGTAAGCTGTGAGCGCTGCTACCTGCCGCCGAGACCACGTAACGACAGTCTTGAAAGACCTACATTGGCTCCCAGTACCTTTCCGAGCACAATTCAAAGTGTTGGTGCTGACCTTTAAAGCCCTAAGCGGTTTCGGTCCAGTATACCTGAAGTAGCGTCTCCGCCACCATCGTTCAGCCCAGACACTGAGATCCAGTGCCAAGGGCCTTCTGGCAATTCCCTCACTGTGAAAAGTGAGGTTACAGGGAACCAGGCAGAGGGCCTTCTCGGTAGTGGCGCCCACCCTGTGGAATGCCCTCCCATCAGACATCAAAGAGATAACCATTACCTTCTATGCTGTTACTATTTTTTTATTTTTTTTACATAAGTAAAAAGTGACCTTTCCCCATCTGGCATGGTGGTGTGCCTCGAGATTTTTTTCATGAAACAAGTGTGCCTTTGCCCAAAAAAGGTTGGGAAACACTGGGTTAAACCACAGAGTGTAGGACTTGCCGATCAGAAGGTTGGCAGTTCAAATCCCCGTGATGGGCTGAGCTCCCGTTGCTTGGTCCCTGCTCCTGCCAACCTAGCAGTTCGAAAGCACGTCAAAGTGCAAGTAGATAAATAGGTACTGCTCTGGCGGGACGGTAAACAGCGTTTCTGTGCGCTGCTCTGGTTCGCCAGAAAAGTCATGCTGGCCACATGACCTGGAAGCTGTACGCCGGCTCCCTCAACCCCAGAGTCGGTCATGACTGGACCTAATGGCCAGGGGCCCATTTACCATTATTACCGAAAGGAAAGACCAGATTAACTCTCTCTTTCTCAAAACACAGCAAAGGCTCATGTATGAGAGATGAGAGCTTTGCTGATTTCCACTGGGAAGCCCTCTGTTTCTTTGTGTCTGGTTTTGAAGCTGTTTGTTTCTTTCCAGTACAGTGGAACCTCGTGTTACGTACCATCCTCCTTACAAATGCTTTGGCTTCCGAGCTCTGCTAACCTGGAAGTAGACGCTCCTGGTTGCAAACTTTGCCCTGGGATGCGAGTGGAAGTCACGCAGCAGGAGGCGCCATTAGCAGTTTCCTGTTACAAATGGACCTCCGGAACGGATTAAGTACGTGACAGGAGGTACCACTGTAATTTCTCAGGAATGGGGAGAGGAGACTTCAGGAGTATCAGATACCAGCCTCATTATTACTGCGTTTCTGGGGGTTAGAGCAGAGAGACCTAACAAACAAACAAACAAACTTGTGTATATACTGGTAACTAAAACTGGGTGTCCAGAGGACTTTGTCCCATGCTATTTCCAGGGACTATCATATACTGTAATGCATATGCAACTGACTGAAGTATATTTTGCCAAAGCATTTTCTTCGGTGGAGGGTGTGCAAAGCAAGGCTTTTCCCTCACAGCAGGAGTGGTAGAGAAGATGCAGCCCTCCAAACCTTTCTGGGCTTCCAGCGGCCCTATTTGGCCCTGCGGGCTGAGGCTGGTTGGAGCCACAAGGCCCACAAGTTTCCCACTCCTGCTGTGAAGCAAAACCTGCCCCTGCCATTTTCTCGAGCTGCGGACACAGGCTTGATGACATGTACAAAAAAATAGTCTCCAAGAACATTTTACTTATCAGCTTGCCTCTACATATTTATGTTAGTCCTTCTAGTCACTGAAATGTAACAAAAACCAGGAACTTGGCCTTC